AATTCGGCCCAAATAGAAATAGGATAACAAAGAATACGTTGAACGACCTCAATGATAAAATGAAATATTATTTTTTCTTGCGACTCTAAGTTTGAGCTGCTACATCTTTAGATAGGGATGATAACGAGCCGAGTAGGGTCAGGTTTTTTATCAACCCGACCCAACTTGAAAAATATGTATCCTCCACCCAATCTCGACCCGTCCCAAAAAATATGTATCCTTCACTTGAACTCGACTCGAAAATTATATATCCTCCACCCGATCTATCCCGACCCAAGTTTTAGAGCATAAATTCGACCCACTATAAAATAAGGATTTAATTAAATAATAATAATTTTTAAGGAAATTATATTATTATCCGTAGTTGGGTTGGGTTGGAGTTTTTTCACCCTCCGCCCGAACTCGACCCGACCTCACTCCCTTAAAAAATCCGACCCAACCCGACTAAAACCTAAATTTCTTTAAAAATTTTAACCCATTTGGATCTGGTCAGGTCAGAACCGGTCAATTTCGGATTAAATTGTTATCCCTATATGCAAAATGTATATGTATTTATTATCAATTGACTAAGAAAAATCTAAATAATTATACTAATGAAAGGATGTTCAATTAACTATTTTTTAGATTTTTAATTTATTTAAAAGATATATATATATATATATGATCGTTTTAACAATATTTATATAAATTTTAATTTTCACCGACAATGGCTCAAATTTTCAAATAACGCGGTGGAGAAAAATAATTATTCGAATAATACACCCGAGAGATTATTAAATAATAATGTTTTAAAAAATTATTAAATTTTTATAATCAGAGATACATAACGGATCGGTTGAAATAATAACAACAATAAAAGAATACATGGCCTTTTAAACAACAATAAAGAGAAATCTCATAAATAATAAGATTCTTATACAACTAAGCAAAACCCTAATCCCCACCTATCATTCCTATCTGACACCACATGAGTTACGTCCTGTAAAATTAGATCTTCAACTTCATTCTATTTAAGATAAATATATATATTTTGATATCCCAAATTGATTTTTAATATTTATTTTCTATTCAAATTAAGTATTTAAATTTGAGTTTTAAAATTAAATTGGTATTTAAATTTGATTTTATGACAACATTTTTTGTTAGGAATGAGAATAAAATCTTGAAAACGATCGAACCTATAAAGTTCTAGGGGACGAAAACATGTCATCAATAGAAAATATAAAGAAAATATCTAAACTATATAATAATTTAAAATTTTCAGGGGGACGACTGCCTCCAGCCCCTTCGGTTCTTCCCTGATCATAAATACTAATTTGAACTAAAAAAATGAAACTTAAATATCAGTTTGAACCAATAAATCGTATTCAAAACTCGAATATTAATTTTTTTTTATCATGGGACTCAAAAACATTAATATATATATATCAATTAACTAGATTCAATGTACCATGTCATATGCATATTTAAATTGTACCTTATGGCAACAATAGATCATCCCAACAAGTAATATAAAATCCTCAAAGTTTTATCAACAAGTATTCCAAATTTGTACTAGTAGTGTCATTCTCTTTCTTGTTTAAGAAGAGAAAACAAGTGGATTACCTTGTACATTTCCAATTACTTTAGGGTTGTTTTGAAACTTGTTGTGGATAAATGGAGGTTATGTATCCCAACACACCCAAGAAATAAGGAAATGTTTATTATCCAAGTAGGATTTGGTTGAAAGTGATGGGTTGAAAAGCACACATTTCCCAATTTTTTTTATAGATTAATAGATGTAGGCATCCTACCACGGCCTGTTAAGGAAATAATAGGGTAAATTAAATAAATTAGGGATTTAAGGATGTTAGTTAATTATTAAGGGATGGTTGTATATACATTAGCTATAGGTTAAAGGAAATGTGATAATAGTATGTTTGTGTGTGTATATATATATATATATTCTCAATTATTTGACGTTAAAGGCTCAATTTTTTTACATTCATAGTGTTCGAACATAGGACCTCAAGGAGCAACATCAATTTTTTACCACCGAAGTCGTTTGGTTTGTGTAAATATATATTAGCTTAAATTATTCAATAAGGAAGAGTTTATGTTTATATATAATGTCAAAATTAGCCTCCCAACGTTTACTAAAATGATTATTTTGGCCTCTATTCTTTTTTTAGAGCATTTTGATCCCTCAACATTTTATTTTGGGGCAAAAAAACCCCTCTATATATGGAAATCGTTAGTTAACACACTATCAACACTCCAAAATATGAGTATTTTTTACACTAAAATGAAACATTGAGGGCCAAAATGCTATTGGTAAAAAGATTATAGGCCAAAGTGACTATTCTGTCAAATGTTAGGCCTTTTTGCCCTTGAAATTCATGGTGCTTGAACCCGAGACCTCAAGGAGCAACAACAATTTTTTTACCACCGAAGTCGCTTGGTTCGTGCGTATACAAATTAGCTTCAACCATTCAATAAGGGAGAGTGTATGTTTAGGCATAATGCCAAAATTAGTCCCCTAACATTTACTAAAATGATTATTTTGGCCCATATTCTTTTTAGAGCATTTTGACCCCAACATTTCATTTTAGGACAAAAAGCCCCCTATATAGATGGAAATCTTTAATTAGCACACGTTCAACGCTCCAAAATATGAGTCTTTTTACCCTAAAATAAAACATTGAGGGCTAAAATGCTATAGTAAAAAAGATTAAGGGTCAAAGTGACTATCTTGTCAAATGTTAGGAGCCTTTTTGCCCTGAAATAAAAAGTTAGGGGCTAAAATGCTCCAAAAAATAAGGGTCAAATGACCATTTTAGTAAACATTGGGTACTAATTTTGATATTATGCCTTATATTTATTAAGCGACCTTATTGGATGGAAGGGAGTATTATTCTCTTTTGAGAACACGGGTTTAATTAGGTGTGTGTATGTTATCAATAATTAAAAAATAGGCTTAATACCAAAATCAGTGCTCAAACTATTCCTCTTTTCCCAAGTAGATGCCTAAACTATTTTTTGACTCATCCCAGTGCCTAATGTTACAAATGTTACCCATTTAGGTGCTCTGGCCTTCAACGGTGTTAATTCATATGTTAAGTGACACGTGTCACAACCTGATAATTTTAAAAAATTTATTTAAAATTTAAAAATTAAAATTATATATATATATATATATATATATATATTAAAAAGAAAACACAAATTTTGAAATAAACACAAAACTTTGAAAACCTTCATTTCAACCCCTAAACCCATGTCGATCACCGCCTTTTGTCATCGATAGGGACTATGTTGGTAGCGGTAGTCATGGCCAAAAAGAGCGGCGGTGGAGAATTAAGTTTAGGATTTGGGATTTTGAGGTTATTTTATAATATAATGAAAGTTAGTTTTTTTTAAAAATATAATAGTATTTTTAATATATTTTTTAAAAATAAATTTCAAAATCACCAGATTGGGACATGTGTCACTTAACGGGGAAATTAACGTCGTTGACGACCCATGCACCTAAATGGGTAACGTTTGTAACGTTAAACACTTGGATTAGTCAAAAAATAGTTTAGGCACCTATTTGGAAAAAATGTATAGTTTATGCACTTAATTTAGTATTAATCCTAAGAAATATTATGAATATATACTACCTTCAAACCATTAAAAAAATGGAGAGTATAAAAACTATGTTTAAACACTTATAAAACCTAATATATAATCGATGTGAGATTTACCAACTACGACTCTTATAATTTTCATCAATTTTTTTTATTTCATTCATATTTCATTGATTGATTATGTTTTTTTCTTTCATTTTGGTCCTTGACAATGCAACGTTTAATTAATGTGTGCCATCTCCAAGACGAAAACATGTACGTTTCTATTTTACAGTTGTTTTTATAATCTTAATCTCAATAATTTTCGTTTCATACATACTTTATTGATTGGTCATGTCACTTTTTTTTTCTTTCATTTTGATCATTAATAATTTTAATAAAATCGTTAGTAACTGAAGATGACTTTAATAAAATCATTAAAAATTGAGGATACTTTTTATAATATTATTAAAATATATAACTTCACTTAATACTATTTATTTTTACCTGTTTTTTCAAATAATTTTCAGTCACCTCTATATTTCTTTTATCATTTCCCAAAATAAGCCTCCAACATAACCCCAAGAAACAAGGAAATGTTATTGCCCAAATAGGATTTGTTTGAAAGTGTATTTGCCATGTTTTTATACTAAACTGCTTAAGAAACCGATTCATTTGATGTCTAAATCAAAAGGTCAACGTATTCTTAGTATATTCCCATTTACATATGAAAATTGTGGTGGTGGTGGAAGGTCAATTAGGGTCCTCAACTAGCGGATTTGAGTTCGAGTATTACCAAGTTTGACTCAAAAACTTTAAAATAGAGTTCCATTTGGTTTGAAAACTCGCGAGCATAAGTTTTTTAAGATTGACTCGAACTCAAAATCATGGATTGAAGCTAAAAAAAGTTCGCCAAAGCTCGAAATAAAAGATCTTATACTTAACTAGGTCGAAGCTAAAACTCGAACCTGAACCTTAAGTATATGAAAATTTTATATTACATTAAAAAAATACATAAACGTTAATATTATTAATAATTTAATTTTTTAAAATTTTTAATATATATATTTTTTAGTTGCCGCGAACTTTCGAATTTAGTATCAAGTAGCTCATTTCGACTCGTTCAGGACTCAAATCAAGCTTGAATCTATTCAAATCTAGTATTTATTGAACTTTGACCGAGTTTATTTTAAAGGTGTTGACAGTGGCACAGTCAAGTGTAACATGGGACGGCTCCATGCTCCCAAAAGTTTTGGTTTATTTTAATTTTAGATACCTACAAGTTTAAATATAGGTAAAATTAAATATTGTCTCCCTTAATATTTTGGTTTAAATGCTTCTCAAGTCCATAGACTTTCACATGTCTGACTCAAAACTAACTCGTGGAATGAAACCAGAGAAATCAGAAACCATTGAAGTACAGACACTATATTCACCATAAGTATAAAACAAGATGATGTTGAAACAGTACTATATCCATGACATTCAACTACACGACATCTAACTCCCTGCCGAGACCGAACAACGGTGCGTTACATCGAGAAATGATTCGATGACAAACTTGTAGTTGAGGGTTACAGATTGAGGTGCACCGGGTACCTGTGGATGCAATCTTCCCAGGGATTGTTCGGAGACGGCTTCACGTTCCGGAGTGCGACCCAGACCGCGCTGTTACACTTGAAACCGCTCCCGAATGCAATCTGCCAGACCCGGTTGCCCTTCCGCATCCTGCCTTTTGCCTCTGTATAGGCCAGCTCGTACCAGATCGAACTCGACGATGTGTTACCGAATCGGTGGAGTGTCATTCGTGAGGCCTCGGCATGTAACGGGAGAAGCTGCAGGTTCTTCTCGAGCTCGTCGATCACGGCCCTCCCGCCGGCGTGGATGCAGAAATGATCGAACGCGAGCTTGAAATCCGGGATGTAAGGCTTGATTTTCGCATTGAACAACTTCTTGGACACCAATGTTACAAAGAACAAGATCTGTTCACTTATGGGAAGAACAAGGGGACCCAATGTTGTGATATTGGTCTTAAGTGCGCCACCAGCAATTGCCATCAAATCTTTGGACAAGGACACACCAGTTTTCCCAGCATCATCCTGTTCCTGGTAAACACACTTGAACGCCTTGTCGTTTGCCCCACAATGTGTCCTCACCACATGGACAAGCTTGTACTTGCTCCGCCTCCGATCCGCCGGCCGATTCGACAACAGAACCGCCGCGCCACCGACTCGGAACAAACAATTCGGGATCAACATCGATTTCTTGTTACCGAAATACCAATTCTGTGTGATGTTCTCAGTACTAACAACAATGGCATAAGTATTCCTATGAACTTGCAACATATCTTTAGCGAGATCAATGGATATCACACCCGCACTACACCCCATTCCCCCAAGATTAAAGCTCCTAATGTTCCCCCTCATCTTGTACTTGTTAATAATCATGGCGGACAATGAAGGTGTAGGGTTAAACAAGCTACAATTAACAACAAGAATCCCTATGTCTCTTGGCTTAACATTAGTATTGGCAAATAGCTTGTCCAATGCACCAAACATCACCTGCTCAACTTCTTCCCTGGCCGACGCCATCGTCGGCCGGGGAGGGATCAAATGCATCGCCTCCGGCACCACCGTCTCCTCGCCGAGCCCCGATCTCTCCAAAATCTTGCGCTGGAACTCGAGGGACGACTCATCGAAATCGCCAGTGAGCTTTGAATGTTCCATGAATTGCTGGTACTTGACCTTGAGATGCGACGGAGGGAGGTAACAGGAGTAATCCACCAAATAAACGGATCTCGGTCGGGTCAAGATGTAAACGGTTGACCCGAAGACGAGAACGGCGGAGAAGACGATGAAACTGACGAGATTGTACTGGAGTTGGACCCACAGTTGGCGGATGTCGTCGAGGCTCAACCTCGAGGCTTCGACGATGATGACGGCCATTAAAGGGACCAGACAAAAAGTCAAAAGATGAGTTATCAAGTAATGGTAACCAAGTTTAACGTACTTCAAGTTGACACTCTGTAAGAAATCCGGCAATCTCCGACGCTGCCGGATCTGAACTCCATTACCACTCTCTTCACCATTAGCCATGATTGGTAGAAACCAACAAAAAAATCAACTCTCTCTTCAAAAACAGACCAAAACAAAGTCTGGGTTTTTGAGAGAAGGAATTTGGGTGTCCCTATTTGTTAACAAAAGGGGTATTTATAGAGAAAGTTGGGTGGGTTGATCAAACGACAGCAACGACCAGCTGCCAAGAAAGAAGAACACGTAGAGATTGTTAGGTTTCCATTAGTAGAAATGTTCATAGAGAGAAGAAGAAGAAGAAGGAGATAATAGAGATGGTGGGAGTTGGGAGTTTCCTGATCTGATCTTAACGCCAGCCGGAAAACAAATCCATTTCCCCATCACCATTAATGTTCATTCATTTATTTATTTTGATTTCGCAACCCTCTTTGACTGAATATTTTTCCCTGGTTTTTTATATTTTAGGGTAAAGTACATAAAGGGACTTCATTAGACGGTGTTGCTTTATCGAGTCATCGAACTATTAAAAGTTACAAAATGATCTCTCAACTATAAGACGTTTTTTTAAGTCACACTACTATTCATTGTATTCCAAACTTGTCTATTTCTGTTAAAAATTTGATGGTAGTCTGAGTTGGTCGTTAACCATATGATTGAGATATGATATAATATGATCTCAAAATCTCAAACTACTATAATATTTTAGTCAGCAGACTAACGTCTAGCTCAAACTGACATCAAATTTTTAACGAAAAAGGGGTGAGTTTGAAATACAATGAATAGTCGGGTGATCATTTTGTAACTTTTAATAGTCGGGACTAAAAAAAGTAATGTTCTATAGTTAATGGACCATTTTGTAACTTTTAATAGTCAGATGACTCAATAAAATAATACCTATAATTGGGGGACCATTTGTATACTTTGCCCTATATTTTATTAAGGGGAGTTTTTCTTTTTAAGTGATGTGAAGACAGAAAAAAACAGGGAAATGGGGTTTGATTGTTTGAACATTGAATTTTAAGTTGATCAAGTTGATGCCTTGAAGATCAAAGGGGGATTTTATTAAGGGGATTTGAACATCGAATGAAGTCATCACTAAACTCAAATCGAATCGGATTTCGGGTGGAGGGTTTATACTTTCGGGTCGGATCACGTCGACTTAGGTGTTACATTCAAAATCAGGCATAAATAAAAGCATACTTAAAACATGTGATGTACATTTTGGACTAGTATACATTTATTGCTAGGAGTATTTGGATTGAACTTGTTAAATATACTAATTTAGCAAGTCTATGTTTTTAATAATTTGAACCCAATTTGTCATATGACAATATAATATTCAAGCTGATGAAATAATATAATTGATATAATATTAATACTTTTAAAACTTAATTAAAGTGTATTGAAGTTTGGGACCAATTTAAAATTTATATAACAAACCAGCACGGCTATTGGAATTTACCCTTTTCGGTTTTTTCCCTAACCTTTTCATATTTTTTGATAATGAGCCAACTTTTTTAAGATTATTATCACTTTATATTTTATTTTGGGTTAAATATATTTTGACTTCTGAAGTTACACTTCATTATTAATTCAATATTTAAAGAATTTTTTATTCAATTTGGTCTATCAACATTCTAAATATATTATTTCAGTTCATTTTATTATTATTACATAAATCCGTATATTTTTTGGATCACTTAACGACCTCAATGGTGGTTAAAAAGAGTGTTTTTTTTTTAGTTTTAGATTTAAGAAATTGCTTCTGCAGGGTGTGCGCATTATAAATGACTAAAAAAACCATGAACAAATACTAGCTTTTAATTATTTCAAACTATTAAAAAATATATTTTTTAGTTTTAAAATTTCTTTTTAAAAAATTTCTTTAAATTTTAAAATTTAATTACAAATTTATATATATCTTTCTTGGATATGAAATAATTTTGAGGTGCAAAATGAATGTGTTTTAGGTGAAGAGTATTTAATTTCCGGAAATGCAAGTTGAGGACATGATTTTTTAGAGAAATATTATAATTATGGGTCCACATACCTTGCTGTCCATATTTTGTATATCCTTTGCCAATCCTTGCCATTTAACTTATAATATATTTTGCACGAACTAAGTGACATTCGTAATAAATGAATTATTGTCATTTTTTGAGAATTCGAGTTCAAAAACTGAGAAGACCATGAGTGTGAGCGTTCAACGTTAAGAGGATGAGAGTTATATTTGAACATAAAATGCCTTGTACATACCCTAGATTAATAAACAAAAAAAAAATTATAATGTATCTTTTCTTAGAGGTCCCGAGTTCAAATCAAACGATCTCAATGATTAAAAGATTTGTAATTTTATTTATAAGTTTCAGGTTCAAGTACCAACAGGGGTATAGGCATTAATTATCAATTGATTAAGAATATTTAAACAGATACTACCTTATATTCATCCCAAATTTATTAAAAAATTATAAAAAAATCATCTTTAAAGTTTGAACCATGCAGGTTGGTGCCCAATTCATTTTATTTTTATTTTCATTGTTTTCCATAATAATAATAAATCTTTGATTCAACACCCTTATATTATAAAATCGTTTAATGTACTTTTGACCCTTAATTTAGATTTTAATTTACAAGTTGACCCTAAAATTTTTGACAATTTGACACTTAACTTTAACTTGCTATATAATTTAGCCCCTGATAATTTTTCTACAATTTCAACTTTTTTTCAGAATTAATAACTAAAAAGAAGTGTTAATATTTATATTTCAAATTAAAAAAATCAAGGGCCAAATTGCATCCAACAAAAGTTCATAGTCAAATTGCATATAGAGTCAAAAGGTACATTAATCTTTTTAAAGAGTTAACTATATTACACATCCACAAATTATGTCTTATTATAAATTGATCCCTAAGCTTTTATGAACATTCAAAATTTATTCTCAAGCTACGACTCTCATTCTAAAATGATCTCCAAACTTTTGAACTTTCCAAATTCATCCCAAACTACTCTCATTATGTATTGGTCCCTAAACTTTTAAATGCTTTTTGGGGATGTTATTATAATCAAAAAATTTATGGACTAATTTAGAACGAGGGCCGTTTAAAGATCAATTTAGAGTGCGAGACATAATTTAGAGATGGAATTAAAATATTTTAAAAAAATTAGAGACGAATTTAAAATAAAGATCCCTCCAACATGAAATTAAGTGTAAATTATTAGAATCTTTCATTAAAAATTTTGGATCCGATCGTACGACATGCATAGTTAAGAATTTAAAAGGGTTGATAATGACTTTATGAGACAGCTAGGCAATGTTGTTGTGGTAGGTTAACTCATTCATTCTACAAGAAAAGAAAGATAACTTGAAAAAGGAAATTAACGTAAATTAAATGCTCATATTTTATACATTCACAATACACTGACATCGTATTCGAATATGAGACCTCAAAATATAATAATTATCTATTTGATTTGAGTTTAATCAATATCGACATCTAAGTTTGAGTTACTCAAATTCAGTAATATATAGTAATAGTATAAATATACTTTAATAATATAAATACGTGTATTGAAATGGAAAAAAAAGTCTAAATTAGAGTTACGAATAGCTCAAGTCGGTATTATGATGCTCAGATGGTCCTCCGATTACAATGTATCGCTTTATTAAGTCTGTTAAAAGTTACAAAATGATCTTTTTAACTATAAAATATTGTTTTATTGAATCTTTTAACTATTAAAAGTTACAAAATGATCTTTTGACTACTCATTTAGTATTATAAACTATAATTTTGATCGATTTTAATATCTAAACTTTTAATTTTTAAATTATACTAATATTTAGTTTTTTATTTCATTTTAATACCTAAATTATCAGTTTTGATATTTTTTAGTACCTAAAATTTCAATTTAGGTTAAATTACATGTTTAGTATCGAAACTACCAGTTTCAATTTGTTTTAGTACATAGACTTTCAAATTTTAAAAAATAACTAAAATTTAATTTTTGTTTTATTTTAGCATTCCGTCTTAAAATTTTCAGGTTTTGTTTCGTTTTAATATATTCGTTCAAAATTTAACATTAAGTTTTGAAGAAAAATGAAAATTTAGGTATTGAAACTGATCAAAATTGATAGTTTAGGCACTAAACACGTTATTTTTTTAACGGTTGGTACTAAAATGAAATGAAAACCGAACGTCATATATGGTTTTGAAAAATTGAAGGTTTAGATACAAAAACATATCAAAACCGATAGTTTAAGTACTAGATTGATAATATTATAAGAAAGGGTGCATGACAGGTAATTATTACTTATACGGGGATATTTAGGTAAAATCGCCCAAAATTTGCTATGGGCTTACATCTATCATTGTTTGCTGATGTATGTGGGCCATGTATAAATATTTATAAATTGACTCGTTCATTTATTTAATTTTTATTTTATAGAATAATTAATTAATAAGATAACACATGTCTATAATCATAAAAGTTGAATTGTATGATTAATATTTAAATAAAAAATAACTTTATTATGATATCTCCAGTATCTACTTTTACTTCTATATTTGAGATTTAAATTTATCATTCTCAAAGTTTTAAAATTCAAAATAAATTTAATTTTACATAATTTAGTCCTATCCTTTTATAATATTATTAATAAGTATAAATGGAAGACATTGCTAATTGTTGTGTAAACAGTAATAAAATGACTTTTTCCTTTGAACGTATAAGTACATTCAGACTGACTATTAATAATATAAAAAATAAAGGGACCGAGTTAAGCAACATTAAAATAAAATGACATAAAATATTAAATTTTAACATAATGCAAGGACTAAAATCATAAATAGACATGAACAAAATAATATTTACCCCAGCCGACATGCATATGGACTAACTCCTATGCTGTTTAATAGTATTTTAAATTATTATCATCCCAAATTTAAACAAAAGTAGATTTTTGCTATTTTCAATATTTTAGATTAAATATCTAATTAGTCCTTACTATTTTGAGCATAAATACATTGTTCTTTTCAATATTTGATCTTATCTTTACCCAGGAATGGACCAGGGGTGTGGGGGCCGTCACTCCTTGAAATTTTAAGATTACTATATATTTTATATTTTTATGTATTTTATATTAAAAATATGTTTTCACCCCCTAAAATTTTATAAGCTCAAGTTCGCCCCAAACATAAAATCATGTGTCAACCCTGTCTTTATCCCTATTTGTTTCTATTTCCATGCCATGTATCATCCGTCATTTGTTTCTTTTATTTTTAATTTTAAAAATTAGATAGATGTTTGTGTCACGCCTCTAGAGATTAGACCCTAGACATGTGCGCTTGAGACCAGGACAGAGGTTCTTAAGAAGGTGTTGGGCGTAACTAATCCATCATACTTTGCCCAATTCATGGAGAAAGCTAATGAGCCCATTCACATTGAACCTGCAAATATGGAAAGTGACAAGAAGATCACAAGAGCTTGGCAAAATATGGCAGGGGATGATATCATATCAAAGAAGATTATGGAGGAATCTTTCCATATTCAAGGAGATCTTCAATCAAAGGAAAGAATGAGACTAATTGATTTGTATGGATGCTAATTTGATTGAATTTTCTTATATATGAAAATTTATAATTAATAGGGCTCATCTTAGCTATTGATCTAGATTGATCTTAGCCGTCAATTGTAAGATGATTCAACTATAAATAGAGGTCTTACTCACCTCATTTGTACTCATTTCACTTTTCATTTCATTTGGTGGAATACAAAGAGCATTCACCCAACTCTCTCTCTTATTTGTGTGAGTTATCTCATTCTCAAGTTCTTTTGTGCTTTCGCATTGTACTAAGCCTTCTAGTTTAGTATTTTTCAGATCGACTTAGGTGAAAAACACCCAATAGTGGTTCCAAAGCATCTAAGGCCACACGTTCCCAAGTTTAAAGCTCCAAGGGCATGCCAAGTGGTATCAGAGCGAGTTCGTTGTGGTAAACGATAAGTTTTCAAGACGATTTTTAAGAGAGATTACACCATAAAACAAGAGGATGTCTCAGTTTCTGTTGTGGGATTCGAGACTCGTGCTGCTACTGAGAAGAAGCGATGAAAGTCTAGGGATGTTATTTCATCGTTGGAGAAAAATGTCACCAGGTTGGAGGAATTAGAAAGCCAGACCCAAGGGGAGGTGCAAGAGTTTCTCGACGAGTTTAGTGACAAGACAGTTCGTGAGTATGAGTCGATTAGGGTTGAGGTGGAGGCTTTAAGGCAAAAGATAAGCGAAGTCAATAGCACCATGGAGGATATGTCTCAACGCATCCTAAGGTTGGAGGCTGTCGAGGATGAACTTGGTGCGGAGACTCAGGGAGTCATCAATGACATGGCCAAGAAGGTTGATGAGTGAACCAGGGGTCTTGAGAGCATGTTCTTGGCCATGAAAGCGGACATGATGCGAGAGAATAAAGGAGCTCCAGAGTGTTATGTTGGTTTACAAGGCTACCGTGATGAATGAGGCGCTAGGAGAAGCACCAACGACAAAACCCAAGATCAATGTTCTTAAGCCAAAGGAGTTAAGGGGAACCCGCTCGGCATATGAAATTGAGAATTTCATTTGGATTATAAAACAATGCTTTCAGGGCATGGGTGTCGAGGACGAAGCCCCTAAGGTAAATGCGGGTTCCAATTACTTAACCGATGTTACTCTGTTATGGTGGCGATGCAGATGCTCAGAGGAGACGAACCAAGAGATCCCAATACAGAAATGTGAGGAGTTCAAGGAATAGTTCTACCCTAAGAATGTCGAACTTGAGGTGCAGAAAAATCTACAACAACTGAAGCATGATGGTTCCATCCAAAATTATGTGAAATGATTCATAGAACTTAAACTGTAAATCCCGACCATGGACGAGGATAAGGGATTCTACGCTTTTAAGGTTGGATCATAACGATGGGTCGAGATGGAGATCCAACGAATGGATTTCCACGACCTTTCTAAAGCGCTAACCATAGTCGAGACCATATCATAGTTCGAGACTGTGAAGAGTGAGCCAAAGCTGAGATACAAGGGCAATGGTGGGGGAGATAAAGAGAAGTCAACCAAAGATTAATTCGAATAGTATCAAAAGGGCGAGGGAATACCAATGAGCGGAGGATCCGAACGATTTCGTGTAAAGGGTAAGTTCATGTCATCTAGTGACAGAGACAAAGATCGAGAGAGAAAAAGAGAACATCTCACGTGCTATATTTGTAGGGACAAGCACATGGCAAAGAATTACCTGAAGAGGGACAAGTTGGTTGTCATCTTAAGTCAGAAGGACGAGCCCAGAGGTAGCCACACTTAGAATAATTAGAAGTATCAAGGCGACTAAGTCGAAAGGAGAAACAGAGCAACCGAGGTGCCACCAAGGTGAGGGGTCATATGGTTGTAGGATCAAGCCAAGGCGTCCAAGGAGGTGGACAAGCCTACAAGTGATGAGGCCATGAGGCTTGGCACGATGATCCTAAGTTATGTCAAGGCGAATGAGAGCTAGAAGCAAAAATGGTTGATGAGTGCTCTGGTGGACACTAGGGCAATTGATCTATTTATGTCCTAGAGAGCTGTCGACAATCTTGGTCTTCGAGTGGAGAATACAAAAGGGATGATCAACACAAAGGGTAAGGACAAGGTGGACTTCAAGGTAGTCCTATTGGATGATTTTGATTATATGATCAGTCTAAGTTTTATTGATTGTGTTAAAGCTTTCATTTTCCCTTACGTCGATGCTTTAACCATCATTGATCCCAAACAAAAATGCATTGTGCCTTTGAAATGAGATGAAGGAAAAGGGATCAAAGGATTTACAACCATCCAGTTTGTTGAAGATGTTCCAAAGGAGGCGAACATCAAGGAAGGGACGAAGGGACTCGAGCTCTCGAAGGACATGGAGACACCACCAATGGGTGAGGTGGTAGAGACACCAGACTTCAAGGTGGAAGAGCTGATGCAACAAGGGGCACCAAAACTTCAAGGGAGAGGTGTCGATGCATGGAGCATCAAACTCTAAGGAGAAATGATGATTGATCCATTTTTAGGTGAATGACACCGAAAGTGACAAGGTACATCTCAAACATAACTCTTGTGTTGTTAAGTCTAAATTGCCATCTTCAGTGAGTATAAGTTGATGAGAACCTAACCACAAAATGGGAGCAGTCAAAGGTTGGGAAGGGACCGGGGGAGTCATCCAAGCCTTTGCCAAAGGATCAAGGCGGTCCGTTCGGAGACAAGTGTAGACGGGTAGGAAGGGGTTCCTATAATCGAGGTGTATGCAATGAGACAAAAGAGTACAAGGTTATATGACAACAAAAGCCAAAGAAAGCAGTCCATATAGGGAGACCGCAACAAGCCAAGGCACTGAGAATGAACAATATATGAAAGAATGAGACTAATTGATTTGTATGGATGCTAATTTTATTGAGTTTCCTTATATAGGAAGATTTGTAACTAATAAGACTCATTCTTAGCCATTGATCTTGATTGATCTTAGTCGTCCATTGTAAATATATTCAACTATAAATACAGGCCTTCCCCACCACATTTGTATTCACTTCACTTTTCATTTCATTTGGTGAAATACAAAGAGCATATACTCAACTCTCTCTCTTTTGTTTGTGTGAGCTATCTCTTTCCCAAGTTCTTTTATGCTTCCGCATTGTACTAAGCCTTCTAGTTTAGTGTTTTTCAGGCCGACTTAGGTACTAAACACCCAAGAGTAGTTCCAAAGCATCTAAGGCCGCACGTTCCCGAGTTTAAGGCTTCAAGGGTGTGACATTTGTATCTTAATTTTATTCTAAAAATGTGATATCAATTCAAGATTACCGCTTCTTACTTAAGGTGAAGTTCTTCTAATTTTATAACTGAGATTAAAAAAAATTATTTAACATATATTGGTTAAATTCATAACGTACGAAGAATATTAAAATTTGACCTAAAAAAATAATTACCTTTTGACATGCATGCAGGATACGTTGGTCCTACTGCCATCTCGCATTTTTGCTAATTAATTTCAAACGGATAAACCTTTCTTTAGAGATCCCATATCTATGTTCATGGAAATTTAAAAGTCATGATAATGACGAATTTATTAAAACTATTTAAATAATACTATATATATATATACATAAAGCAGCACAAAACTGAACTTAGAACATTAAGAGAATATTATGAAATCACTAATCGTGATTATTCTAATATTACTATTATTATTAGTAGTAAGTGCATAATGGAGGTCCGTGAGCCATCCTTCATTAATTCAGCATTGAGATTCTTCATCCTGCATATTAAAAGAATATGATTATGGGACATCAATTTTTTCCCAAAAAAATTAGGGATTGTTGATATTATCATCACTGTTGAGAGTGCTTACCTCGGGTGTTCCTGCCGGTGGCGGTCCTATAGTTTGGGAATGGAACTTGACCCGACTCGATTTTCATCACATCGGTCACCAGCAGCTCATAGTGCTTCTTCACTTCCTCCACAGTTTTCCCTCCGACAGCCTTGGCAACATTGTACCAACGGTCGGGTGTGTCCTTGTCGTAAACGGCCAAAGCCCTCTCGAAATCTTTGTTCTGCTTCGCCGTCCACGAACCGGAACCGTGAGACGACATCGAGCCCGACGCCATTTTCACGATAATGTTTCAAGAAAAAGACTGCGTAGTAGGGATGGTAGGATGAGCAGAAAGACTTGGCAGTGGCTGCTCTTTATAGGCAGTGACAATAGGGGGCGTGTGGGGTTAGAGATGGATAGAGGGTATGCTTGGATACCATCGTACCCTTAAAAATTTTAAACTCTCATTTTATTTTTTATTGAAGAACTAATTTTGCATAAGTTAAAATTTTATAATTGTGTATCTTTAAATTTTTATTATATAACATTTTATGTTCGTATTCGACATAAAATTCCACGTCGGTCACTATACTACATGAGATTGTGTGGGGGCAAAGGCCGATTGGCCTAGAAAATTTGCACATCAGCTTTTAGAATTTTAAGTGATTTGTCTCCTTAGGAATCATAGAAAATGTTGTAAGAAAATAAAGATGATGAAGAGGAAATGCATGAGAATCATTATCTTCAACACCCAAAACACCATATATATATATATATATATATATATATATATATATATATATATATATATATATTATTGCAAAAAGGGTAATTTTTTTATTTAACTGTTACTCTTTATAAGAAAGAAGAACCTTTAAAAATTTGAATTATAATGTTGCAAATGAAGTAAATTATGTCGGGATGAAAACTCCCGTAATAAAATATTATAATATATGATCTAAATTTTTAAATTTTTAGTTTATTAACATACACATATCTTATAGACACAACTGTTCAGATTTAGATCCACAAAAAAGAATAACATTATCTTTTACTACTATTAATCTCAATCATCTAATTTCACTCATCCAACGGTCAAAAATCTGTATCAAACTAAATGAATTTTACATTGCGTAACATTATCTTATATATATAGTTTATGATTCTAGTCCTTGCATGCCCTTAACTGGGCCATTCCCGAACCATAGACCAAAATCTAATGTCCGTACTATAATGTCACGTGTTCACTTCATTATTAAATAATATACTACATTGGGGATAAAATAAAATTTTAATCCTAATTTTTTTCCCGTGGTTCTTAATTTTTTTATCCCTATAATCTCCTAATTTGACAAAAAACAAAATCAACTTTTAGTATTTTCTAAAGAAAGGGCATAATCTTCTAGCGTCGTATCGTCAAAATGACAAAAAAGGCCCTAATTTCATGAACTACTGCAGAGTTAACAAAAGTCGGGACTAAATTGAGAAAAATAATCAAATTTCAGGAAATAAAAGTTGATTTATCCCTTAATATTATCTTTCCGAACCATATTCCAAGCATTCTAGCTGGCTTGTTGATTACCTAGTTTTTCTTACAATTCGGGGTCTTCTTTGACGAATGTTCGGTTTTTTGTTAAAAAGGTGTGTTTTAGGTTAGTTTAAGACCTGAAAATTAGGGGTGCGTTTTAGGTTAGTTTTCTCTAGTCGAGTCGAAAAAATTGATATTTTGAGTCGAGTTTTACTCACCCGACATGGTAGAATTATTGACCCTAAAATGTGAAGAACACGTCAAAAGCTGGTACCAGATGAAATCAAGACAGAATACTGCTGTATATGAGAAAAGATAACCATATGGTTCAATTTTATTGCCCTCTCGTACATGCATTTTGTTGTTTCTTTTAATGTCTGAATTTGTTTCCATTTTTTTCTCCTTGCTGAAATGGGAATTTGATTTGAAATCTTTCGCTTTTCTTGGATGAATAAATGATATACTTGTGTACCTACAACGATGATGATCCGTAATCGTTTATCACGACCCGGTTCCGGAGGGAATAAATATCTGGTTTTGGAATAACGAGTCGAAATCCTCAACAGCATCGGACATTGGTATAGCTTTGCAAGTTGAGTTCTAGGGTTAGCCCTAAACTATAATGGACCTACTACTACTACGCCCTCAGCATTTGGGGGAAAAAGCATGACGACGACGACGACGATTCCTTTGCATCTTGACGACGTCGGTCGCATATTGATCTCAACTAGCAGAGGGGCATCGGCTGGTTTACCATTTGCAGCACACACATGGTGATGACCTCTAGTGTGTCAAGTTGTGCATGGGAGGTCATATTCATGGACGATGACCACATGCAAATGGGTGATGATTGGTTGAAAGTTACACCATGCAACTTTGTCGACGATATTTGGGGAATCCTTATCTTTCACTAATATTTTTGGACAAAGACGAACGAATGATCTTACACGAATTTTATATTTAATAATTTATAATACAAATTTAAGATACAAAATTAGATCATCAATGTTTTTTTAAATAAACTAAATTATATAAAATTTTAAAAATTTCAGGAGACGATAGCCTAGTCCACGCGATTTCTTACATCCCTCTCTTTGGATTCCTTTTTCTCTCAAGATTTGTTCTTTTTCCAAGTGGTCCTTCTCTCGTCCAATTGCCTTTCGCTATCCCCAATGATTTCTTAATCATTTCAAGCCTTTCAAGCTTAATCCGTTGGGGTTTTACTAAGATTTTAAGTGGGGTTTATTGCCTATATATGGTGAAGTACCAACGTACAACTTTTGTCATAGATTACGAATTTAAAAAGTTATATTAAAATTTTTAGGGTTATGAAATTATAAAATTTAAAAGGATTCGAAATTAAATAATTAATAGAAACAAAAAAAATCTAAAATATAAGAGAATTTAAAAATTCTCGCACCCCTTGGTCCATCCTTGTGGCTATATCCAAACCTACATGTGAGCATCTATTGTCACCTTTAAATGTCTCTAAAGATTTGAACCCGGGACATAACATACAAACAAGTGTGTAATACAAAAAGGGTAAAGTGAACAAATGGTCTCCCACTATAAGATATTGTTTTATTAAATCCGTCAACTATTAAAGGTTATAAAATAGTCATTCGACTATAAAATGTTGCTTTATTAAATCCCTCGACTATTAAAAGTTACAAAATGATCACTCGACTATTCATTATGTTCCAAACTCATCATTTTCCGTTAAAAAATCGACGGTTGTCTAAATTGGATATTAACATGATGACTAAGATATGATAGTCGTTTGAGATTATAGGATTAAATTTTATCATATTACAGTTGATTAATTATTCTATATAATGCACTCATTTATATTTAAGGATATAGATCTAATTTTAAAAAGATACCTCAAAAAGTGATAAAATTTATAGAAATTTGTCAGCATATAAATATTTTGAACAATTTCGAATTATATTCTTAGGACATACACAATAAATATCACAAAATCATAAAGATGCAACTTTACATGGCTTAGACTCAACTGCAAAAGAATAAAGATGATGATGGTATTTTAAACTTTCTTCCATGTAATCTTTGAACGAAGTGGAATTTCGGACAAGGGAATGTTATGCAATTGGGTTGCGTTAGTTAATTTGAGTAGGAGGATAGACGCAGGATTTTATGTTAGGACTGAATTTGAACATCTAAAATTTTAGGGGTCGAAAATAGTTTTTCAATAGAAATAATCTAAAATATACGGTAATTTTAAATTTTTAGGGAGGCGACTGCCCCCACCCGCCCCTCGGTCCATCTAGGGATGGACACGGGTCGGATTTGGATCGGGTTTCGGATAACCCGACCAAACCTGAAAATTATACATCTTTCACCCAACTCGAAAAATATACACCTTCCACCCAACCTATTTTTTGAGATAAAATATGAATTCGACCTGACTCGAAATAATATATTTATTAAAAATATTATTTTTATTCAATAAAATAATGATTTAATTTAAAATATATATAACGAGATATTATTGTAATTATCTCTAAATATATATAGTAAAATTATATTTTTTTTGGGTTTGATATTTTTCACCCTAAATGCAAATCCAACCCGACCAAAACATAAAATCTAAAAAACCTGACCCGACGAAACTCAAACCTGATTATTTAAAAAAAAAATCTAACTCAATCATATCGATTCGAAATCCATCAAATTTAGATCCCGTGCATCCCTAAATCCATCCCTGAGGGAGAGGCCTAGGTCGAAAAAAACAAAAGCTATAGGCGTATGTAGGAAGGAATATACAATGTCACATGCCAATCATTACATGTTATTTCATATATTACCATCTTTATTTAAATTTGAATTATAAATTAATCATATTTCAGACGGGTATTCATATTGCGCGTGATTGTGGGCTAGCCGTGGATACGTGGTCATCTTTTGGTTATCGTTGGCCAGTGCAAATCAATTCTTTCAATTTTACAAATCGGTTATGTTGGCTATTTGAGCACAACCCAGTTACATCATATGGTGAGATCATGACAATAGTTTGGTATCTCTGTTATGCTAGAAACAAGCTACACCATGAAGCATGAAATAAGTACCTCCATTAGAGAGCACTGCACCCGTTACGACTCAGCCACAAAATCTTTGCTGATCAGTACTCCGGTGAACACTGCCCGTTGGTTTCCTCCGAGAGAGCCATTTGTCACAGCAAACGTTGACGCCAGATACATGCAAACTCAGAAAATCTCATGGTCAGCTGCTATAGTTAGGGACGATAAGGGTTTTGTGCTTGGAGCTTCTCGATCACATATCTTTTGTAATTTTTCCCTAAAAATGTATCAAATTTAATCTCTAAAATTAATTAAAGGTTTTAAATTTTAATATTGGCAGTTTTCATGGTACACACTGATTCTAATGGGAAGACGTTCTTTATGCCCATCTTGTCATGTCCTTTTCCTTCGTGTATGCTTCGTTATTTTGTAATCAATCATACACTTCTTATTTGTATCGACTTTACCTTTTCTTTGCCTTTTACTTTATGGTAAATCACGATATGATCATCGTTTTTTAATTTTATCGTGAAATACACACATGATCTCTCGATTATATGATATTATTTTATTAAATTCATCTTTTATTAGAAGTTATAGAATGGTCATTTGATTATAGATTGCTGCTTTGTTAAATCTCTCGACTATTAAAGTTACAAAATGATCATATGATCATTCATTATATTCTAAACTCGCCCTTTTCCAGAAAAAATTAACAGTTATCTAAGCTGGATGTTACTATAATGAATGAGATATGATAGTCGTTTGAGATTCAGAGATTAAATTTTATCCTACAATCAGCACGTTGACATTAAGCTCAGAATACCGTCAAATTTTCAACAGAAAAAATGACGGGTTTAGAACATAATGAATAGTCGAGTGACAGTTTATAACTTTTAATAGCTAAGGGATTCAATAAATCAATAATATATAATTAGAGGACCGTTTTGTAACTTTTAATAGTTGAGTGATTTAATAAAACAATCTATTTGTATACTTTACTCTTAATTTTATTAATTAGATTTTTTAACTATTTAAATTATTTATCATCAACATTGAATTAAAGAGCCGACATATCATCTCATTAAAAAACTAAATTTATTAAATTAAAATTAAGATCAGATTATGCTCCATATAATATTGTTTACTAATATGATTTTTATATAAAATTAGTAAGATAATTCTGAATTTATATAATTTAATTATATATTCTAACATCAAGGACTCATTGACCAGTTCACAATTGTGTGCTGAAAAGACAAATTCTTTTTTATTTTTATTTAAGATAAGTGCTGAAAATATTTAAATAAATGCGATTAATATTTTATATATAATAGTCAACCTCTAAACTCCCATTAGTTTTCTTGATTAATTTTACTATCTTATCGATTCATTTATTAATTAATTACGAAAATGACACTATCATAATCTATTATATCACTAAGGAAAAGTCAACATGACGATGGTGACAATGACACCCCTAAATTACCTTTCCTCCTCGAAGGAGAAAATCATTAAGGGTACGTTTGGTTCACGGAATATAAGATTATCAATGTGAATATAAGATTATCAGGGAACAGAATTACTAGGAATGTTGTATTTTATGTTTGGTTGATTTAGTAAGAATGTAAGATTATCGTGTTTGGTTAAAGGAATAAAATATTATTGAAATGTATATTTGACCAAATTATCTTTATTATATACTTGTTTTTTTTAACAAGCTGAAAAATATTTATATATTTTCTTTAAAAAATTTAAATTCATAAAATTTATATTTTTTTACAAAATTTAAAATATAAAAAGGTTTAATGAAAGGGTAAAATTTTATTTTAATCCCTGAACTTCATATAAAATTTTAATTATAGACTTTTTTTGTAAATCTAAAATAGTTTAAGGATAAATTTGTAATTTAACCTTCATAGGATTTTTATTATTCAATGACATAAGAAGCATATTTTTTTTAAAAAAATTAAGGGCATTTTAGTCAAAAACACCGATAATCCAAAAATACCTAAGGAAATGGATGTAATAACATTCCCAGTAATATATCCCAAAAAATCTACTATTGGTAATAAAACATTACCGGGAATAAGATTCCCGACCAACAAAACATGGGAATGTGGATGAATGTGGATTCCATTCTCATGGGAATCCCACATTCCTTAAACCAAACAGTCCCTAAGGGTTAGTTATGTATTTAACATTTAAATTATTAGTTCTGATCTGTTTTAATCCTTAAATTTTTTATTTTTTAAGATAATGTTTAAAGTATAATTTTTGTTTCGTTTTAATATATTGTCGTCAAAAACTTTAGTTTTTCTTTCATTTAGTACTCATTCAAAATTTAACGTTAAGTTTTTTATTTTTTTTTAATTTTAGTACTAAAACGAATCAAAATTGATAATTTAAATACTAAACGTATTAAGTTTTTAACAACAGTGTTATTAAAATTAAATGAAAACTACACATTAAGTATGATTTTGAAAAAAATTAAACATTTAAGTACTAAAACATACCAAAACTAATAGTTTATATACTAAATACGTAGCTTATGCAATCATTAAAAATTCATATATAAAAAATAACTATAAAACTAAATAGGGTTAGGATCCACTTTTTTATATAACTAGCATAATTCAATTTATTGATCGATTAATCCGGATCGAGTCCTGTAAAGGCAAGGGAGACCCTCCAAACCCAGTTTATTCTAATCACATTCGTTAGGATTCGAATCACTGCCTTTGCTTAAGGGATATAGTCTCTCATCCCACGAGACCAATTAGTTGTTGGTTAAGGGTTAGGATCCACTCACACAAGATAAAACTCTTTAGTTTTACACAGATTTAAGACCTTTAGATAAGTAAAAGTAGATGGTTGAAATTGACTCCTTGAATTTTTTTCCAAGTAAATATCTTTTTATTTTCTACTGTTAATCTCAATCATCTATTTTTACTCGTCCAACTATCCTAAATCAACAATTTAAATACAAAATTCAATTATTAGCATTAATTATACACATCATAGACTAAATTAAGGGTAAACTGACAAAAGTTCTGATATCAAAATTTTAATATAGTTTCGGTCAAAATTATTATTTTATTCGTATGATAATTAATATTAATTTTTTATCGATTAATTTAAATTAAATATTATAAAAATTTATTATAAAAACAATTTTTTTAATCCAATTATAAAAAAATATTATTGCAGTTAATCCATATCTTCAAGAACAATAATAAAAAATTCCAATCAAATTCAAAGAGAATGACACAGAGTTTAAATAAACGCATTAATTCATTATATTATAGTTTTTATAAAACACGAGTTTTATTTTACGATTAAAATAAAAATTATTATTGAATTTTGGATTATAGTCAAAGTTGTTTTAAATTAAATAAATTATATTAATGTTTCTATAATCATCAATTAAAAATGATTATATTCATACCATTACATTCTATATCAGTATAAATTAAGCTAATAAACACTAAGATATTTAAATTATAAAATACTTAAAAAGCTATCCATTGAGATGGTTTGAATCGTTCAACCTGGATGGGTTGGTGTGGACTTCAAAAAAAAATTTGCCATTTTAATTTTGGGTTAATTCGGAAATTTTCATTTGAGTTATTTTATAGCGTAAATTATGTGTTTAGTGCATAAACTATTAGTTTTGGTCCGTTTTAGTATTAAACTTTCAAATTTCCAAAACCATAACTAAAGTTGAGCTTTTGTTTCATTTTAGTACCTCTTTCAAAATTTAAAGTTAATTTTTAGAAAGTTCAAGTACTAAAATGGACTAAAAATGACAGTTTAGATACACGCGTTATGATTTTAATTATGAGGTACTAAAATGAAATAAAAACTAAATATTAGGTATGATTTTGAAAAAATTAAATGTTTAGATATTAAAATAGACTAAAACCGGTAGTTTAGGACTAAATACATAGTTTATCCTATTTTACATTTACGTACTTAGATTATAATCAATTAGTTTGATCCAATTTATCCATACTTTTTAAAACCCAAATAGCTCTATTGATGATTAAATGGGTATAAATTAGATCGGATTTTGATTTACTTGAATATGATTTAAGCATTATTTTTTAAAATAGGCCTCGTTAAAAATCCTCTCATAACTAAATCAAATCATAAACGACAAACAAACACCACAACTAATTTAACACAAACTCACATAAAAACAGAAGTCGAAAAATGAAAAAAAAAAACATAAATACTGATAGTTTAGGTGTCAAACTTTAGTTTTTATTTCATTTTTGTACCATGTTCAAAATTTAAGTTTTGGAAATATTGAAAGTTTAGATATTAAAACGGACTAAAATTGGTAGTCTAGGTACTAAACACGTTAAGTTTTTAACGGCGGAGTATAAAATGAAAACTAAACGTTAGGTATGATTTTGAAAAAGATTAAAAGTTTAGGTGTTAAAAGAGATTAAGATTGATAAATTAGGTATAAATACGTAGTTTATCCTAAAATAAATTGCTGTAAATTGCTCAAATTCGGGTCTATTTGTTCATCCTCAGCTGGAAGTAAAATTCATGAATCATGGAGCCACCGTTTTACCTTTTTTCTTTCCATTTCCCGGAAAATACACATTTTCTTTTCCATTAGTTGATTTGTCAGAGCTCAAAAGAGGAAAGAGACGAGAATGTTCAAAGTTCACCACTTGAGTATTTGACCGCCCACCATCTTTTATCTAATACCCATCATCATCATCATCATCATCCATTAATCAATTCCAGATTTGTTTTTACTCTCTTTTGTCAACGAAATTATTTCATAATTTTAAACAAGGAAACAAAAACACCAAGAAGAAGAGAATTTGACAAAGATCGCTTACCAGCAATTTTAAACAGCTTTTTTTTATATTAAATTTGAAGTTTTGAGCATCAAGATCGGAGCTTTATTTAGAAAAAAATGTTTAGATGAAAATGGCGATGAAGAAGAGAAGCATGGGAGTATTGGCTTTGTTTTATGCCTTGTTTTTGCTTTTGTTTGAGTCTACGGTTGAGCAGAGACTGAGTTCGAGCGGCGAGTTAGCAGCTTTATTTGAACTCAGATCGTCTTTGGGTGTTAGAAGAAGGGATTGGCCTCGACGAGTCGACCCGTGCTCGAGATGGAACGGTGTCCGGTGCGAAAACGGTGGTGTTTCCGGTATTAACATTTCTGGGTTTAGAAGAACCCGGCTCGGTGAACAAAACCCACGGTTCGCCGTCGATTCTCTTGTGAATTTTACCGGTTTGGTCTCTTTTAATGCCTCCCGGTTCTTGCTTCCCGGTTCGATCCCTGATTGGTTCGGACAAAGGCTGTTGAAACTTCAAGTGTTGGATCTCAGGTCTTGTAACATAACTGGTGTTTTGCCTTCGAGTATTGGCAATTTGAGTAGCATGTCACGTCTGTATTTGTCGGATAACAGACTCACCGGAGCGATTCCGTCGACTTTCGGTCAATTGTTGAGCCTATTGGTTCTCGATCTTTCGAAGAATTCACTTACCGGATCGATTCCTCCCGGCATCGGAGCGCTTTCGAGGCTACGAATATTGAATCTTTCGAGCAATAGTTTCGTTGGTGAACTTCCTGAAGTGATATGGTCGATATCCGGGTTGAACCTGCTCGATATCGCTAGCAATAACTTCACCGGTAGGCTGCCTAATGCTTCTTCGAACGATGATAATGCCATTGCCGCGGTACTCGACGTTTCCGGGAACATGTTCTACGGAGGTCTCACGACCGTAGTCGGAAGGTTTAGTTCGTCGAATTTATCGGGGAACTACTTCGAAGGCAGGGTTCCGGACTATGTGTCTGTGAATGCATCTCTTAGTACTAATTGTCTCCAAAATGTGTCTAGCCAGAGGACTTTGACCGATTGTGTAATGTTCTATGCTGAGATGGGCCTAAGTTTCGACAATTTCGGACGCCCGAATTCCTTGGAACCTTCGGCTCCCGAAAATAGGTACGGAAACGGCAACAGCAACAGAATTATATTGTCTGCAGTCCTGGGAGGAGTCGGGTTTATCGTATTACTCATGTCGTTGCTATTGCTGGTCCGACGTGTCCGTAGACGGAGGAAAGTGAATCATAGAGGCATTGATGTAGGACAAGTTCCTATTGAAGCAACACATCCTTCATCTGGCTTGGCTAGTGATTTCTCGAGCCTAGGCAATCCGTTTACGTATCAGCAACTTCTTCAAGCAACCGCCGATTTCACCGATGCGAACCTCATCAAGCACGGTCATTCCGGTGATCTCTTCAAGGGTATCTTAGAAAGCGGGCTTACTGTTGTCATCAAAAAGATTGATCTGCGGTCGATTGAAAAGGAAATGTACCTTTCGGAATTAGATTTCTTTAGCAAAGTTGCACATAACCGAGTAGTTCCGCTATTGGGACATTGCTTCGAGAACGAGAACGAGAGGTTACTGGTTTATAAGTACATGTCGAACGGGGACTTGTCGAGTTCCTTGTACCTGAAAAACAATTCGGAAGGTGATGTTTTAAAGTCATTAGATTGGATAACAAGATTGAAGATCGCCATAGGAGCTGCCGAAGGCCTTTCTTATTTGCATTATGAATGCACGCCTCCGCTTGTCCACAGGTATTTTTACAGTTCTCTTATGCATATTATCGATTAGCGAATACGGAATCCGGCAGCCTCGTTTTCATCTTTATATCATTCGGCTGCGGAATACATATTTCGACAAGAACTGGCGGTGACATGTTCTGTTTTTGTCGTTGAAGAGATGTTCAAGCTAGCAGTATACTTCTCGATGATAAGTTCGAAGTCCGACTCGGGAGCTTGAGCAAGGCCTGCCCTCAAGAAGGCAGTTGCACTCAAACTAGAATTACAAGATTAATGCGGTTGCCAAAGTAAGTATTCGGTAGAATCGGAACCCGTGTAATCGTTGCTTTATCTCTATGTTCTCGTTTTCGATGTTTGCTGTTTCGAACAAAATGTACCGAGTTTCATATGGCTTTTCCTTTGATGCCTGCAGGTCATCGGAACAGGATTCTTCAGGTACGTGTATGTTTTATATGATCGTTATCTCCTCGCCCTTCGTTATTCGATCTGTTAGTTGTTAGTTCCGACATGTTTATTGCTGTGATATCTTTGAGCATTTTTCTGAAACTGCATTTTTATTTGGAAAACGGCTAGATTCATCTGCAGCATTATGTGCATACGATGTTTACTGCTTCGGGACGGTTTTACTCGGATTGGTAACCGGTAAGCTCGACATCGATGCGTCAAGTGAGACCGGGATGAACGAATGGTTAGAGCAGACACTACCATGTATCAGTATATACGACAGGGAACTCATGACGAAAATCTTGGATCCGTCTCTTCTCGTGGACGAGGACCTATTGGAGGAAGTCTGGGCCATGGCCATTGTCGCTAGACGGTGTCTGAATCCGAAACCGTCACGGCGGCCCCTAATGAAATATGTTCTCAAAGCATTGGAAAATCCATTGAGGGTGGTTAGGGAGGATAATTCAAGCTCAGCAAGGCTAAGGACAGTGTCCTCAAGAGGTTCTTGGAATGCTGCTATTTTCGGTAGCTTGCATCAAAGCTCTTCGGATATAGCAGCTGTTCCCGCAAACTCCGGTGCTAAAGCGGAACGCGGAAACAGTTTCGAACATTAGGGAACGACCTGTTCGAAGGGCAGCAGTGCTCGGAAAGCAGGGGGAGGAGACCATTCGGTCTCGCATCGACGGCATTCGGAGATATTACCGGAGCCGCAAGAAGCGCAAGATATCGAAAGACTGGGATTGTAACTAGCAGCAGAGAGGTTTCATTTTTTGTTCTCGATTATTTTCTTAATAAGAGGTCAAATCGAATCGAAGTAATTGAAAATCTTACTCAATCCAACCCATAATCATCCTTATCCACCGTGATAGTACATCATTCTCAATTAAAATAATGAAAATTTAGGCACATTTTGAAAATAATAAAAATAACTAACTTAAAAGTTTTAAAGTTGTAGCATAATTTGAAATTTATGCATTAAAAAATTAAGCCGTAATTTGATATTTCAAAAACTCAAATCAGAAATTTTAAAATTTAAGCCATAATTTGAGGATATTTTATACAATTAACCCAAAATTTTAATTATAACCATGCTAGGTGGTCACTGTTTATCCATCATTGCCTTAAAATGTAGTTAAAACGAAATAATTCATAGGATGGATTCACACGTTGTAAATGCTTACAAAACATGGTACATGTCATGGCAAGAAACATGCATGCATCCTTTTATTTTTCAGCAACTACGAAAACATCAGTTGCTATCTGAGCAAGAAAGGAAAGTACAGAGGCACATCAGCGGTAAAGGCTTTCGGACCTGAGATTCTCTGCGATCTCGGTTTCCCACCGGTCACCATTCTCGAGCAGCTTCTCTTTGTCATACAGAAGTTCCTGCAACGACACCGACAATTAACTAATTCACTTCAACATACAAGCGACAGTAGATTTAACTGAAAATAAGATTAACCTCGTGAGTCTCGGTGGCGAACTCAAAGTTGGGTCCTTCAACAATTGCATCGACAGGGCACGCCTCTTGGCAAAGTCCACAGTAGATACACTTGGTCATATCAATGTCATACCTACAAAATTGAACGAAGGTTAGACGAAGAAAAAGACGTTAACAGAGAAGAGGAGTAGGGAGAATCAACCTTGTTGTCCGACGACTTCCATCCTCTCGTTCTTCAGCCTCTATTGTGATAGCCTGTGCTGGGCATATCTGATAAACCACCACTTCATGAAAATCATAATAGTAAATCCATATTTAATAAAGATAAAAGAAGCTTAATCAGAGATAACAACAGATCAGTTTGACTAGGTCCAACTTTTCAAAGATTGCTTTCTCTCCCAGATAAACAATGGCAGGCTATACAACCTTTCTATAACCAGAAATTGTAATAGAGACGAAATACACAAGAAATATAGAAAACTAATGTTTGATGCATGATACAAAAAGAATGAATACACTGACCATAAAATCCATTTTTAAGTGTCAGTATTTCAAACTAAAACAACAACATTCAGATTCAAAAGTTAAAGCCCAAGGCAACGCCATTTGCAGTTAGGTGTCGATACCGGAAAGCAGTGGATGGTTTCTACCAAAATGATAATATTTGTCATCATATTGAAGCACCACATGATGTTATCAGTCCCATCCAATAAAAAAGAAATTTAGATAACGGGATTAGTAGCATGAAGCTTCGACTTACAGCTTCACAAAGTTTACAAGCAATGCAACGTTCCTCTCTGGTTGGGTATCGGCGGAGAGCATGCTCCCCTCGAAAACGAGGGCTCAATGGACCCTTCTCAAATGGATAGTTAATCTGCATATGAAAAGCCAGGATTGTATCATAATTCATGAATTGCTTCAATATCCATACAATCTGCTCCCTTCCCCCAACAGAAAATATAAATAAAAAAGGATCAGAAAGAACCTTACAGTAACTTTTCTCTCGAAGAAATACTTGAGTGTCAGACTGAGACCCCGGACCATTTCAGTTAGAAACAATGTGTTTATGCTTCGCTCAAAAACTGCAATTTAGTAAAGTATAAGAAACCATTTATTACCTAACATAAATCAAATACAAGTGATGGAACTTGAAAATTTCACTGCTCTAAATTACCAGAACTCCAGTCCTTCGAAATCTCCTTCGCAAGCTGCTCTCTTTCTTCATCATCTGCAGTTTACATACATGAAAACATAAACAAACTAGACAGCACCAGGATCGGGGATCATGTATTGAAAAAAAGGCAGTTACAGGCATGTCAGAGAGATTTCCAAGTGAAATAGTGCCAAAGAAAAAACAGAAAGGACTTATTCCCCATTGCAGGCTGCTCCGAAACACAAAATATCTCTCATTCTCTTCCATTAATAGCAAAGACAATTGCTCTATAATTCATATTCTTAACTTTACATCCATATCCCAAAGAATTCTCCCTCCTCTCAAAATAAGGATATTATAACAAATTGAATTATACAGAGTAGAGCAACCTTTATTGGTGCTGTAGGAGTTTGCACTGAGTCGAGATCCATAGTGTTGTGAACCATGCAACGCTTTCCCTGAAAAAACCTATTCATACATAACCAAATAATTGCCAAACTTGATTAATAAAATCGATTTGGTTAACGGTAATTTCGAAAGGAATAGAAAACCAGAAGAAGATCCATATTAACAACAAGATAGAGGACATCTCTAACCTAAACTTACCGACGGAGCCTTGCCCTTTTCTTCAATTCATTTCCAAATTAAATGACCACATGCCATAAAATTAACAATTTAACTCCCACAAGTCGATGATAAACAAGTTTCAATGGAAAATTCTAATCGAGACCATGAAAAATACAAATCTAGGGCATCACTGAAAAGAAAAATTCAAACAAAAAATGCGAAAATTCGTTAAGAGGAGGAGAGTAAAGTGAGCCTCTTGCGAGATGTCGAGCTAGGAGGGAATTGAGAGAGTTGCGAGCGAAGATCTCAGCCATTGATTCGGTGGGAAGTGTAATCTCACTGACGAGAGACTATTAGGTCTGCGAGGATCGGAGCTATAACTGGAAAACCTACCTGTTTGATTGGGAGATCATTTTATACTTTTTTAAAGAACAGTTTTTGGATTCAAACGGTGCCGTTTTCGTACCGCAACTGCAGGCCTGTTACGCTATTCGGCTTAGGTAAAGTCCAGCAACAGCGTCGTTTTATCTAAGCCCAACCCTAAATTCTCAAATCCAAATTGACTTAATACACTTTTAGGTGTACTTTAAATTAAATTTTGGTATCTAAAGAATTTTACGTTAAAAATATGTATTTAACTTTTTTCTGTTACACTTTTAGGTACCTATAGTTATATTTTTTATTTTTTAATAATAAAAATATTATTAAAAAAAATACTATGCATCATCCATCTCCTTCCCATCTCCCCATCTTCGACGACGATGACGAAGGGTCACCACCTGTTGGATTTTATTCGAAGCAGGACGATGAACTTAATGGTGGTGACCATGTAATGTACGACCATCTGTAGTTGTCAAAATCGTCAGAAAACGACGAAGGAAAATTTAGAAAATCGACGATCCTTCGCGATGCTTGTCACGAAGATCGACATAGTTTTATGATGGGTGGCGATTGCGTTTTGGTTGTGGCTGCTAAACAGTTCTGATGATGTCGACGGTGATGCCTATGGACTGGACTGATGATGAACGATGGAATTAGTTTTTTTTTGTTTTTAAAATTATAATATTAAATATTTTTTTAAATATATTTAAAAAATTATATGAGTGACACGTGTTAAATAACGGTCAAATTTAACTGGTTTTACGGTCTAGACACCTAAAAGTTCAACGTTGGAAACTTTAAACACCTATTTTTAGCGAAAAAATCTTTAGGTTCCAAAAAGTAAATTTAAAATCTTTAGGTACCTAAAAATATATTAAGCCATCCAAATTATAGGGTTTAAGGATGAAATGGAAATGAGCTCGTGAACTTAGCCTCCTCCTTCAACCTCTGGTTTTCACCATCCAGAACGAAGCTAGAAATGGCGTCGTTTTGCAGGTCAGTGATAATGGCGGGTTCTAGATCCCTCTCTGTTCGATCCAAAGCCCTTAGTTTAAAGAACCTAACCCCAAAGTCAATCTCTATTCCTTTCTCTTCTCCATCAACAAGAGCCCTCCCTTGTGCTTCAAGGTACTTTCTTTTTAGCTTTTCTTTTCTTTTCTTTTCATCTAAATCTCGTCTCAAATTATTAAATTATTTATGGGTTAAAGGATCCTATCGGTGCTGGGAGGAGTAGAGTCGATGATACCACTTCACAGTGCCATTGCTTCTGCTCGGTTACAATCAAGCATCGCTGTTGATTCCTCCTGCTGGAGCTGGCTCTCTCAAGGTGATAATTTCTCTTCTTTTGAATTTGTAATGCCGTTGGATGATTTTTTTCAAGAACCCAAAGTTGAAATTTTAGATAGAAATGATTTGTGATGCTCATATAATATACATTTAATGATTTGTAGCTTGCTTTCCCACTTCATGAAATAGGATTTGCAGCACCACTGTGACAAAGCTGGATCCTTTGTTGGACAAATAAAAGCAGGGATCCTTTTAGGAACCTATGTAATTGAAAACAATCTGTTCAAGATTTTGTCTTTGTATTCTGAATTCATGCATTGTTCCAAGATTTTAACTTAGCCGTGTATGTTTTGTTTTCTGCACAAGTGAATCTTTTTTGGCTCCAAAATCATAATCTCCTAGAGATTGATTAGTTTCATTCCTTTGTTTTTGCTGGCTCTGCTGTGTTTTTAGATTTGTTTCGACTTTCGAGCTTCTTTATGGCGTGTTGAATGATAGAATGACATGCTGTTCTTGCTAGGGTACTCGAACGTTTTCGACATTATGGGACTTTTAGGCCTTCCATATGGTTTGGATGTTCATATCAGTCTTGAATCTGTTCCAAATTGATGTCCTTATACCTCGCTTATCTTGAACCCGGAATCGCTATATACCCTTCCTGTTAACTTCCATGACCATTTCTTGCATGTTTTTCTTCTTCAACTTCATACTTTTTTGCTGTAATTGACAAAGTTATCGTAAAATATTTCGGTTGAGCTTTTCCTTCTACTGATTATCGTTGGTGTTTCTTCTTTGTTATGTCCTAGACTTTGCAGTTCCTCGGTGACGGAGTGAGAGCTTCTGTCATTCCAAACCTAACCAGCCTGCATTCGACCAGCAGTTCGATCTGCCCGTCGTTTTTCCATCCCTGTCTTGGCTAACTTTTGCATCTCTCATCTCTTTGCGAGAATCATTTTCTGTGTCCGATAATATTGTATGAAGTAATATTGTGTTTAAATTTGTTTCAGAATAGTAAAGGTTATGACTTGATTGATAATTTTTTCAAAAGAAATTTCAATTTACTTTTGAAGGATAAGGGTCGAATTGGCAAAAATTGTGAACGTAAGGGATTGCTATAGGCATTTTGTCTTTTTTATATGTCAGATAGCGAGAAAACAATTTTCAAATAGGGTAAACTACGCTTTCAGTACCTAAATTGTTATTTTTGATCCATTTTAGTAACTAAACTTTCAATTGTTTTAAAATCATATCTAACATTTAGTTCATTTCATTTTAATACTCTGTCGTTAACGCATTTAGTACCTAAACTTTCAATTTTTTTAAAATAATTAACTTTAAGTTTTGAATGAGTGTACTAAAATGAAATAAAAACTAAAATTTTTAATGGCGGGCATTGAAATGAAATAAAAATTAAAATTTAGGTATGGTCTTGAAAAAATTAAAAGTTTAGATATTAAAATAGATTAAAACAGATAGTTTAGATACTAAATGCATAATTGACCCTTTCAAATATAGTACATGTACAAGCTTGAACAAAATAATGTAAGGATTAAACATTAAATTTTGAAATAATACAGGGACCCTTGACATATATAGACCTACAAAAACAAATTCTTTATCTTACAGCCCATAACAACGCTAGATTGAACCTAATTCTACTCGGACCAAGATATCTTTAAAATGAATAAAATTATATTTCTTTTAGAAAAAAAATGTAAGGTTAATCCTAATAAAAATAGAATTCTCTAATTAGAAGGTAAGAAATTGTGAGATAATAATGGTTGGTGCTTCATATAAGCCTATTAGAGTTATCTGTCCTCAACCGTCAAAGAAATAGGGATGATAACGAATTGAATTTTTGATTAATCCGATCCCAACCTGAAAATACGTATCATCCACTTGAACACAACCCAAAGATATATATTTTTCATTCAACTTTGACCAAACTCGAACTTTTAGAATATAAATTTAATCCGCCCAACTTTATATAAAATAAGAAATTAATTAAAAAATAATATTTTTAATAGATATTATGTTATTATCCACGAATCGAGTCGGAGTTTTTTTAATATCCACCCAAATCCGATCTGACCTCACTCCCTTAAAAAAATCTACCCCGACCCGACCCAAACTCGATTTAAAAAAAACAGTTTGACCCTATTGGATCAAGTCAAAATCCGTCGATTTCGAGTTAAATTATCATCCCTACAAAGAAAGCAGCAGAGAAGGTCATTTACCTTGGTAAAACCGAGAACAACAATGATGTCGATTCAAGCCGTCTGATGAAATTTGCAACTTTTTAATTCTTTTCATAAACTCGTTTGATTTGGTTGCATGATAATCTAAAGCAAGCTTTTAAATGCAAATTAAACAGGGGGCAGCGTTTGACTTTGACATTATGAAATAGCATAAAATCTTATTCCAAACAGAGAAAAGCAAATGAGGAACATAGAATATTACAAAGATTCCAGACAACTAAATCCAACCAATCCAAAAGCATAAACACACCATTTTTGTTTATCAGACAAACACTATGAATCCATAAAAATGGTTGGGGAAATGGGAAGACCAAATCATTAACACTTTAAGGGTACTTGTTGCTGAACCAGGAGGAAAAATCACATGGTACATTTCAACATTCACATCCATTAGACCTCGGTTGGCTGCTGGTTGCAACATCGATGGTGTCGGGCAGGTATCTTCATGAGTTATTTAATATCCAAGAACATGAGAAAAAAGAAGAAAATAAATTAAAGTATAAATCAGAAGGTTTGAAATTAAGCAAAAACTAATGAGAAAAAAATGACTTCAGAAGCTAAGCTGTTAACTATGAGTCCTCAAAATCAAATATGTCATGCAAATAGTTACTAGGGAATGTAAAAGCGTGTGGGAAGAGAACTGATAATGGTGTTTAACTTACATGTCTTCCTCTTCCCCGCTCTTTAGGGCATTCTTTGCAATGCATTGGAAAGCTTCTTCCACATTAACTCCCTCCTTGGCAGATGTCTCAAAATATGGGATATTTCCTTTCGACGCACACCATGCTCGAGCCTTTTTCTCAGACACCTAAAGAGTCGGAACAAATGAGATAATTATATCTGTCATGGTGGGGAGAGAGAGATTGTAGAGGGAAGGAGAACTAAAAAATACATACTACTCTACTGTTTCCACCATCCACATCAACTTTGTTTCCCAAAACAACAAATGGAAAATTCTCTGGATCCGAAGGGCTTGCCTACAAAGTTTTTCAAATCATCAGTTTACAAGGGTAAATCCCAGAGAGTTGGCTGATGGTTTTCAAAAGCATTCAGAAGTTCAGAATATATACCTGAATAAGAAATTCTTCTCTCCAGTTGTTGAGATTATCAAATGATTTCACTGAGTTCACATCATATACAAGAACACAACAATCAGCACCACGGTAGAAAGCAACACCGAGGCTCTGGAATCTTTCCTGTCCAGCTGTGTCCCAGATCTGGGAAAAGGAAAACACAAAAATGTTCATGAACTTTGAGCAAAGTGGTCACTCTCAAATAACACCAAAAGAAAACCTGAATATTTTTAGAATGTAATGCTAAAATTTGCTAGAAAATACTCGAGATACTGGCCCATAAGATTGCCTAATACTAAAATACAGAAAACCGATTGATAAGAAAAAATTCATGCAGTAGTCAACATAAGTCTAATCAATGAGTAGAGCAACATAATTCTCTAGACACTCATCACAATGTCGCTCCTTGTAAAATAATATTGCAGAAAAAAAGAAGCCAATGAGTTCTTCAATGAATGTGAAAAATAGTTGCCAGTGGCAGTTTTGAGTTAACAAAGATCATAGTGCAGAGATACATTTGTTACAGATCTTAAATGCAATGGAGAAATCCTGGTTAAGCTCTAGCCCATCAAAGATAGAGCCGATTAATAAAAACAAAATCCATGCAGTAGCCATCATAAGCATAATCAATGAGTGGAACAACAAAATTATCTAGTCAAACATCGCAAATCCACTAACGAGTGATTATATAACTACTGAAAAAAGAAGCCGTAAGATTTTCAATGAATATAAAGAAAGGTTGCCACTGGCAGTTTTGACCTAACAAATATCATAATGCAGAGATACATTTATGTAATCGAAAAATCATTGTTAAGCTCTAGTCCATAAAAGTTAAAGCTCGGTTCATGAGTTAGGGATGAAAATCAATCCTCTTCTTTGTCAAAAAAAAGCCATACTCAGAATTGGAAATTAAGATCCCAATAGACAAATGGAACAGCTGAAAAAGGCTCAGCAAAATGCTAAAATGCTTGTATTCGTGCATAATAAAGAATTATATATATTTTAACATTACATCAGATAAAACGTAGAGATAACTGTGAAATCTAACCTGTAAGGTAAAAAGCCTATCCTCAAACTGCACTTCCTTGGTCAAAAAATCGGCCCCAATCGTAGCCTTATACTGATTGCTGAACTTCTTATTTACATATCTAGAGTAAAATGTAAAGGCAAACAAAACCATAACTAATAGTAACATAATCACAACTATCTGACAACAAATAAGACTTCAATTTTGTTCAACAATTAGAGATAACAACAACTGCAGGATACTGATTCATCAAAGATGTCTTTCCTACCCTGCAAATAAAGATCAACCGCAAATCAAAATCATAAACATTGTATTTTAAAAATTAACTCGACATTAACAACAAGCGAGACCAGTAAATGGAATCGAGAGATCCGTACGGAAACCCTAGAAACGAAATTTTTAAAAGATGAAAATAGACGTGAATATAAGCACGGAAATTGTACGGGCGGTCTTGAAAAGAAAAAGAAAAACAACTAACCCGCTGTCACCGAGGATGATGACCTTCAAGAGGGTTCTACGGCGAGACGGCATCGTCAGAAACACAAAGGAATCCACGGATGTGCAGATCGATAGAAAGGAAAAAGAAAATTTACTAAATCTTACAAGAGAGAGAGCGAGCAAAGGAGAGGCTTTGTGGACTTGTTTGTCTGACAGGAAAATCGGCTCAACTTTCTAGCGTTTTTTTCTAAGTTTCTTCTAGTTGTTTTTCCTCTCTCTCTCTCTCTCTCTCTCTCTCTCTCTCTCTCTCTCTCTCTTGTGAGTCACGCAAAAGCTGGATTGACCTGTAACTCGACATTTCTGTTTTTATTTTATTTTTAAAATTTACTTAATATAAAAACAAATGTAAAAATTATATTTAAAATTAATTTTTACTTACTAAATTTTTTTATTAAAAATAAGCGTTTAATATTTTATACGTTACACTTTTAAGTTTACCGTTAAAAAATTATTAAATGTCACATATCACATTTAATTTTTTTTCAAAATAATTTTTTAAATAATTTTTATTTTTAAAAAGTAAAAAATATATAAATGTAACACATCACTTAATAGACTTTTAACGACAGATACCTACAAATATAACGAAAAAATTTTAAGCACATATTTTTAACAAAAAAAAAATACTAAAAAGTTAATTTTAAATAAAGTTTAAACTCTTATTTTTGCATTAAGCCCAAATATAAAGTATATTCTTAGAAAAATCAAATTTAAAAGTAAAAAAAGTATAATATATTTTTAATTTACTCTAATAAGTTTAATATCTTTTAGGGTAAATTTGATCCGATAATATTTTGAGAAAAAATGATTTTTTTCATATAAGATGTTAGAGTGACTTTTTTTACCATCTATAATTAATGTTATAATTTTTTATGGAAGATACTCGAAAGATTCGACGATTTCTAAAAGATGTCTAAAATATATGATGCAGTCAGTATCTTTTGAGAAAACGTAGTCTTACGGACATGCATAAAATTTAGAGAAATCGTCATGTCTTCTAGATGTCTTTAGAAAGTCGTCGAATTTTTTAATGTTTTCCGTGAAGCATTGTAACATTCACCATAGATGGAAAAAAAAATCACCTTAACACTTTATATGAGAAAAATGTTTTTTTCCTAAAACATTATATGATCACTTTCACCATATTTCTACTTAATTAACATAAATAAATGCCTAAAATATAAATTTTATTAATTTGAGGTGTTAAAAGTTTCCCGAGTTAAAGTATGTGTTTATTGTTTTTTCCGTTACAATTTTAAGATGTATGAAATTTTATTCCGTTGTCATTTCAAGATTATCTTTTCAACATATGTTAGAAAATTTCGTAAAACATTTAATTTTACACGTTATATTAATTTCTTATCAATATTATTTTTAAAAAACATATTTTTTTTTTAAAAAAAACCTTTATAAGTATCTAATCTCTCATAATCCGGAAATCTTCAAATTCCCTTAAATGGTTAGAATTCAAGTAGCGAACTTTTAACGTCTTTTAACGGTCAAGTACCTTAAATGATAACTTTAAAATGTCGGGTAACGAGTTTTTAACATCTTTTGACGGACATGTACCTTAAATGGTAACTTTAAAAAGTTGGACAACGAATTTTTTAACGTCTTTTAGCTGTCAAATACCTTAAATAGTAACTTTAAAATGTTGGGTATTTAGATTGAAAAAAAAATCTTTTAGACACCTATAAACAACAACAAACATAGTTAGATAATTTATTTTTTAATTAAACCTATTTTATGATTTTTTTATAAAAATATATTAACAAACTTAAATTTGATTATCTATCATATTGATTTGAAAATATTATGTTTTTATTTAATTATTTTGAAAGGTTATACTTATGATGATAAATGGATCAAGTTTTAATGAATACATTTATATTTTATATTTATTTCTTTCATTTTTAAGTATGTTCGGGTTTATCTTGTGTTCGTTAAGAATATCGAATTTTTATTCATGCCGTTTATTTATTTATTTCTGATTAATATGGGGTAAGTACAAATCAATATTTATTCGAAGATAATTCTCATCCTTTTGACATTGAACATATGTGTTTAATATTTACAAATATATTTATCAATATGTTCGCAAACATCAAACCAACACTAAATAAATATTTTCATAAATATATAATTAAATATGTTTATAAACAATTAAAAGTTATTCATAAATGATAAACAAACAATTATAAATGAATATATACATATATAAATTAAATATAAATATAAATATTATAAATATAACAAACATAAATACTTTTAAGTATTACAGAAAAAATATTGACTTCTGATCAATAAATCAGATACAAGTGATTAATTCAAAATAAAATCCATTTTAAATAAATAAATTTATAAAAATAATATAAATTTAGAATAAATTACGTATTTACTACATAAACTATCAGTTTATATGTCTTGAATTTTCTATACTCGTTGAATAACTTTTTGTGTGTTTGTGCATGCATGTTTGCTTATTTAGATACTAATTAATCCTTCCTCTTGATGATAATAGGTTATTATTGTTACAAGCTCTCTCATGAAGGACATGACTAGCAAGACTGATATGTATCGAGCAAATGCTATTCGTGTACTTTGTCGGATAACAGATGGAACTCTTCTAACCGTGGTCGAACAATACTTGAAACAAGCCATTGTTGACAAACACCCAGTTGTTGCAAGTGCAGCCTTAGTCAGCGGTATCCACTTACTGCAGGTAACAGTTTTCTTAGGGTTGCTTTACATACACAAATATTCTCGCGTAGTTTTTAAATTAATATCAAAACATTTGTCATTTATTAACATGTCAAAAACATTTGGGCAGACAAACCCTGAGGGTGCGTTTGGTTCACGAAATGTAAGATTACCAGTGGGAATAAAAGATTACCAGGGAATAAGATTACTGGGAATGTTGTATTTTGTTAGTTTGGTTGGTTTAGCAAGAATGTAAGATTACCGTGTTTGGTTAAAGGAATAAAACATTATTGGAATGTATATTTGACGAAATTGTCCTTATTATATATTTGTATAATATTACAAATTGTAAAATATTTATATATTTTCTTTAAAAAATTAAATTCATAATATTTATATAATTTTTTTTTTACAAAATTAAAAATATAAAAAAATGTTTAATGAAAGGGTAAATTTTTTTTAACCCCTGAACTTCATATAAAATTTTAATTATAGATTTTTTTTTGTAAATCTAAAATAATTTAAGGATAAATTTGTAATTTAACTTTCGTAGAATTTTTATTATTCAATGACATAAGAAGGATATTTTTGAAAAAAATAAAAATTTAAGGGCATTTTAGTCCAAAACACCGGTAATGTTACAATACCTAAGGAAAAGGAGGTAATGACATTCCCGGTAATATACCCCAAAAAATATACTATTGGTAATAAAACATTACCGGGAATGAGATTCTCAGCCAACCAAACATGAGAATGTGGGATTCTCATCCCATGGGAATCGCACAATCCTTGAACCAAACATCCCCTGAGTGTTAAAATAATGAGGTTCAAGAAGCTGTTCGATCAAGAGCAGCCCTTGTGCAGTTTCATGCTCTAGCATTGCTCCCCCCGGTATTGTTTCTTCAGACAAAATTTAGCACACTGTCGTTTTCTTTTTTACTGGATTTTAACACAGTGCATCATGCAGAAATTAAAATGTATGTGACAGAGGAAATTATAGTAATTTCATGTAGTACAAACCCATGGTACTTTTTCATTCTTGCATGTCTGTTTATGGTTGGGTTCGGGGCAATGCTCATTAAATTGATTTACATCTGTGATGATTCTATGTGGTTTCGTACTTGCAGATACCACAAAATGATCGACTAGCTGTTAATAAGCTGGTTCGTAGTTTGACTAGGGGAAGCGTCCGTTCACCTTTAGCCCATGCCATATTGATACGTTATACCAGTCAGGTACTTCCCAACTCTGAAATATCTCTTCCTTCACCCACCCGACCTTTTTATGATTTTCTTGAGGTGTGTCTGCGCCACAAGGCTGAGATGGTGATTGTTTTAGGCTGCTAGAGCAATCACAGAGCTCAGTGATGTGACATCTGTAAAGGTGTTCATTATTCGATTAAAATCGGTTAATTGATCAAATTAAAATTTAATTTAATAATTGATCAATCATTAAAATTAGTTTAATATAAAAGTGAGAACCTAAATTATATTTACAATAAATTTTTGGTGCTTAAAATTTTTGTTGTTGTTAAAAATAGATATCTAATGTTTTTTTCATTGCACTTAGATGCCTATCGTTAAAGAGACAGTTAAGTGACACGTATTATATTTATATTTTTTTATATTTTAAATAAAAATTTATTTGAAAATATTTTTTTTAAAAATTTAAACATGACCCACGTGACTTAAAATTAAGCACCTAATAATATAACGAACAAAACATTAAACACCTATTTTTAACGAAATATTTTTTAAACACCAAAAGTCAAATTTTAATATAGTTTAAATACTTAATTTTATATTAAGCCTTTAAAATTTGATTATTGGTTATCAACGATCTATGATATTTAAAATATAATATTTATATTTTAATTCCAGAATTAAGCCCAACCCAAAAGAACAAATAAAGACTAGAAATAGAAAATATCTAATAAAAGAAACTCATTACTACTTGAATTGCTATTTTTAATCAAAACTAAAAAAATTGTTAATTTTTCTTAATTAATTCAAAAACCAACCAAATTAATCGAACTTAATTTGGTTAGATTAATGATTAAAAAATTTAAGAATTTGGTTACTTCAGTTTTGGGTGATTTTGTTCGATTAATAACCGAACTGACCGTTTGAACACCCGGACATCAATATATACTATACCAAATTTAATATAGTTTGTGGAATCAGTTGAAATAGGGATGAAAACGGTCCAAAATCTCTCTATGCACTAATCAAATTGGGGTTTTAGACAAGGAAGTTTTACAAGCAACAGTGCAAAGATTAGGGTTCCTAAACCATGAACATGATTCAAATACAAAGGATTAGGGTTCATACAGGATACAGCAGGTAGGGTGGACCTGAGATGGAGAGTAGTCGGCAACGTCGAATCGGTTTTCCGTCTTACGAATCAAATCACCCTTCTATGCCCTCCAAATGCCCAAATCTGCCATTACAAGATCCATTTCACGATTTAAAACAGATTCTGGGTTCTCATTTTACGAATATTAGATCGAGTTTTGCTCACCCTAACATCTCAGCCCATACTCGAAAAAGCAAGTGATGAAAGAAACAAGATAAACTAACCTTGAGGTTTGTATCCCAACTTCCTGTACATAAAGCACTACCATCGGCCGACAAACCCAAACAGCTAATCCGTCCCTCGTGCGAGTTCTGGACGGATCCCAGATTCAAAACAACCTGACAAAACAGACAAGGTAAATCGAAAAAACCGGTGCCTGCTATATGCCAAACCCAATCAGATATAAATAACTCAAGCTAATGACTGCAAGTAGTTCATAGTATGAATTTGCATGGTTTTAGCTTAAAGTATTTATTAAACATCTATGTTCACAATGCAAAAGGCGAAACCATATCTAGGCTATGCCGGCACAATTTAGACGAACGTCAAAACCAACAAAAGTGGAGAAGTGTCATCGTGAAAAGAAACGACTGGGAATCATATAAAGGGGATCGAAAGGTGAAGAAAGTGAGACAATCAGGGGGGATTAAGGTTGAGTTATTACCTTCGCCAATAATGTGTCCCATACATAGCAATCCCCATTCGAGTATCCAGCGAAGAGAAGTCTTCCAGAAATGGAGAATGCAATGGAGGTCACGTGTGGAACCTCGTTATCACCGTGCTGTTGATAGTATACTTGCAATTGATGACCAGTCCTAATGTCGAACAACCTGCAAGTTCCGTCGTCTGATCCTGTTCCAAATCTATTGCCATCTGGAAAGAATTTCACAGTATTAACATCACCCTCGTGACCATGAAACGTACGGACTGCTCGACTTGCCACACGAGAATCCCACAATCGGGCGGTCGCATCACATGAACCAGAGACGAACATTCTTGAGTTTGATCCATTAATCGAGACACTGAAAGGACAAAAGAAGTATAGAAGAGAACTTATTATCCTTCATGAGAATTTTCTATGAACACGCATATCACTGGTCATAGGGTACATCATACCAATAAAACGAGAACAAACCAATCTTTAAGCTGATAACCATATAAGATCGAACCAACGTAACAAAAAAGAACAAAAGAAAAAAGTAAGATACCTCAGCACATCAGCAGTATGTCCTGATTGAAATTCTCCCCCGAAAACAGAAGTTCGGAGGCCAGTCGTAATATCCCATAGAACACAGGTCTGATCGCCGGAACCGGTAATAATATGGATGTCTTCATCAGGAACATACTGACAGCAGGAGACATAACCCTTATGCCCGCTAAGGGTTTTCAATACAGGTAGGTTTCCATCCCTATTGGTCGGAGAATTCAAGTTGAAAATAGAGCACATGCTATCAAGACCCCACAGGCAACCGATTGACCAGTCGGAGAAAAAGCACAAGTCATGACCCATGCACAAGGCAGCTTGATGGCATGTGTTTTCTGGCTCGTTAGTGCATTCCACACAATCAAGCGACCATCTTGAGAAGCGCTAACGATTCGGTTCCTTTCCGGAGTCCAATCCAATGAGTATACCTGCATAGCTCATATACATTAAGTTCAAATACACAACTTCATCGATAGACATCAGCACGAAAAACAAGTGATCTACAAATGAATCATAATGAAGTTGATTTTCTTTCCTTCCTATTATCATGCATAGTTCTAAAGCTATCCAAATGACCATCTGCTTCGATTTAGCAACTCATTTGTTCCATTTCAGCAAATAATTCAACAAATCTCATCAAACCATAAAATTTTACTTTCTTCAAGCTTAAAAAACAATCAGAACATCAGAAAATTGCAGTGAAAAAATAAAATTTAAACAAATTAACACATTTTTCACTTTATTCAAGCTTAAAAATACAATCTAGCTACAAATTTGCAATAAAAAAGCTAAAAAAAATTACCTTCCCGGTGTGACCTTGCAAGGTTCTGCAACAAAGTAGATCGGTTGGACCAAAAGTGATTGGATTTTTCCCTTGAGACCTTGCATATCCGGCAACTACACATAATTTTCCCAGAACCCAAACAGATCTTAGAATCTAAATAATTCATATAACAAACCCAAAAATTGGGGGGGAGATTGAATTTTTTTTACCGTCAGTATCGAGCAACTGCTGGCGTCTCTGCTTTAATCTTTCTCTCAGATTATTCACAGTCTCCGTCGCTGCCGCGTGCTTCTCTTTCAGCTCTGCAACAGACATTTTTTTACCCTTTTTTTCTCCTCCGAGAACTCTTTAAATCAAAAGGGAAACATTTTTCTCTCTACTCTTTCATCTAAGGATTCATAATTGAAAAACAAAAAGGAAATGAAAACCTTATGAAAACCTCAGAAAAAGGAAGGATTTTTATTAGTGAAAGTGATGATTGATTGTTGTGAGATTCTGAAAGAGAAAGAAAGGGTGGGTTTATGGCTGCTGGTGGTGAATGGGTAAGGTGTTTTTGACTGTCGCCGCCAGGCCCACCCACTGTTCCACGTGGATGTCTGCTGTCAACAAGGTTAAATTTTTCTTTGTATTTCTCTGTTTTTTCCCCTATGATAAAACAGGAGCAAAAGCCATGGCTGATAGGTAAATTTTCATTTTGATTTCAATGCATTATATTAGCCTAATAAATAATAGGGTAAATTATACAAAGGGTATCCGACTATAAGATACTGATTTATTAAATCTTTTAACTATGTGCGTTTGGTTCACGGAATGTAAGATTACCATCGGGAATGTAAGATTAACAAGGAATAGAATTACTAGGAATGTTGTATTTTGTGTTTGGTTGGTTTAGCATGAATGTAAGATTACCGTGTTTGGTTAAAGGAATAAAAGATTATTAGAATGTATATTTAACCAAATTATCTTTATTATAATATAAAAATGTTTAATGAAAGGTTAAAATTTTATTTTAACATCTGAACTTCATATAAAATTTTAATTATAGACTTTTTTGTAAATCTAAAATAGTTTAAGGATAAATTTGTAATTTAACCTTCGTAGAATTTTTATTATTCAATGACATAAGAAGTATATTTTTGAGAAAAAAAAATAAGGACATTTTAGTCCCAAAACGCCGGTAATCCAACAATACCTAAAGAAATGGAGGTACTGACATTTCAAGTAATATACCCCAAAAAATTCACTATTGGTAATCTTACATTACCAGGAATGAGATTCCCGGCTAACCAAACGGGGGAATGTGGATTCTATTCTCATGAGAATCCCACATTCCCCCATCCAAACACCCCCTTAAAGTTATGAAAGGGTCCCTCAATTATAGATAATTACTTTGTTAAGTATCTCAACTATTAAAAATTACAAAATTAATGATCATGAGATATGTCAGTCGTTTGAGATTATGAAATCATATTTTATCATATCTCAGTCAGCGGGTTAACGTATAACTCACATTGTCATCAAACTTTTTAACGAAAAAGAACGAGTTCGGAACATAATGAATAGTTAGACGACCATTTTGTAACTTTTAATAATCAAACGACTCAACAAAGCAACTTCATGTAGTCGAAGCACCATTTTATAACTTTTAATGATCAAGAGACTTAACAAAATAATATCTTATAGTCAAAAGACCATTTATGTACTTTAACCTAAATAATACTAACCGTTAAAAATGGTTGGTAATCATAAGACAACAAGAGGGAGGTTAGGCTTTGAGGAAGATAAGACAGAGCAGAAGTTGACATTGTAATTGCCAAATTTTTTTATTTTATGTTAAGCATATATATTATATTCTTCTAATTATGCTTTGAAATGGTCTTAGATTCTAAATCGAATATGATTATCTAAAATGCCAAGCTCTTTTTTATTTATATTTAATTATTTCCAAATGATAAATTTAAGGGTGCCCTTATCCTTAATTATGATTCTTACTATTTCGTAAGCGTTGAATTTGATCTTCAAATTTCCAAAAAGTATTGAATTGTTGCTTTTTAATGCAAAAATGGATCAAATGTTAAATTTTTAACATGTTAGATCAATTTTAAAAAATATATTTTAATTTAGATATCAACTTGAAAAAAATACATAATTCTAAATATATATGATTTTTAGGGTAAATTATGCATTTAGTACATAAACTATCAGTTTGTGTCTATTTTAGTACGTAAACTTTTAAAATCTTCAAGACCATATCTAAAGTTTAATTTTTATTTTATTTTAGTACTTCCGTTCAAAATATAAAATTAAATTTTGAAAATAATTGAAAGTTTAGGTGCTAAATAGGACAAAAATTGATAATTTTGTGCTAAACGCATTAAGTTTTTAATGGCGATACTAAAATGAAACAAAATTTAAACATTAGATATGTTTTGAAAAAAATTGAAAGTTTAAGTACTAAAACGGACCAAAACTAATAGTTTAGGTATTAAACGCATAGTTTACCATTTTTTAAAAATAAATATGAGGTGTATATAAGTCAACATATATTCAAAGATTTGTACCCTTGACATAAAGACTTATACCCTTGATAAAAGCAGTGCTCGAACCTGTGATCTCGAGGGATAACAATATGACTCCTAACAAAAAAAAATCTTATTAATCTAGGATACCTACAAGTGGTAGTATATGTTCTAAAGACTCTCAACCATTTGACAATGAGCGCTCGAATATCCTATAATCTCTAATGCTCGAACCTAGGGGCTCTAGAAATAACAACCCTTCCTTAATGGTTAAAAAAAACTTTAAATTAAAAGAAAATATAAAATTCAAAATTAGTTAAACTAAAATATAGAAATTAAATTCATAACTAAATCATAATAGAAAAAATTAATAATAGTGGATCAAAAACAACAAAAAACTGACATGAATCTACAGAGTTTAGGCATTAATCATTGACCATAATATAATACTTTTATGCTTGAAAACATGGTACACACTAAGACATGCAAGAAGCAAAGGGTGACCCCATTTCTTTTACACTAAAGTTCTTTCAAGTGCTCCCACCTGGGTAGATGCAATTACTGTAACCTGCAATCAAAGGAAATAGAGTTGCCTGTATGAGAGAAAGGCGTGTATGCCGTGTTCGTATACTACGTTGCTCGGATTCGGGTGTGTCGGATACTATATTCGTGTCATGAAAAAGATGAATACTAAAGATCTGATATGTTAGAGTGAAGATGTTTACTAGGATTTTGGGATGTTAGTGTTGCCGTCTGTGAGAAGTCGCAATTCCATGGATTCTTGGCAGAAGACTGGTAGTAAAGGTTCATGGCGTAAGCTGCGTGCGATGCTACGGTATTCGGTTCGAAACAGGCACCTCCTGGTTGGATCGGGCCGCAGTCGATGCCTTGGCTGCAGGCATAATCTAGACTCGACTGCAATTGAGCATCAGAGACACCGGCCTTAGGCATGCACCAGCCGGTTGCGGTCGGTTTCGGTTGGGGAGTCACCGGTGTTTTAGGGGTCGATGGAGTCTTGAACATGGGGGAAATCGTGGAAGAATGTCAGTTACCACTGTGGCCGCTACAATGGATCATGAAGTTCAAAAAGTTCAGAAATGTCTCACCCGACTACTCTTCGAAATGCCGATATCGTATGTCATGGAAAGGTCGGGCTTGAAAAGTCCGAATGCGCGTTCGGAACCAGGGCCCGGTTTCAAGTCCTCGTCATAGAGTGCGAAGAGGTAAGTATCCACAGATTTCCCAGGCATCAATGGAGTCCCAACCATTGATCTCAAGTGTGCAATCAAATTCCCGTTGTATGCTTTCGCATTTTCGACACTAGGTCCGACTTCGTTACTGTCGCCGTTATACGGCCATCCTGTCTCGGCAACCATAATCTCGACATCCTTGAACCCCATACCACCCAAAGCAGAATGCACAGCATCAACCTGCAGAATCATAATCAAAATCATGGAGCTAAATTCAGAATTATTGCAATGGCCAGCCTGTAACCAAGCACAATAAGTCAAATCAACTTCACTTAGGGCCTACAATTATTTCATGCAAGGGTCAAGATGCGTTAAAGACATGTTATCAACTAAACCCTACAATTTTGGACCAAAAGAGTAATTTTACCATTTTAAAAACTAAAATTTCTACAATTTTGGACAAGAAGAAAAATTTAACCAACCCCATACGATGACACTTGGCAGATTGTAACAAGATGATGACTTTAATCAAACTTCGCAACAAAAACACCTCATTTGTATTCAAGTGATGTATGGAACAAGAAACAAAAACACCTCATCAAAACCATGGAAAAGACAAGACAGAATGAACAATCATCTAATGAAAAATGTTACTTTAAGAATCATTAATCAACTAAACATGATCAAGGGTGTCGGTGTCGCCAGCTATTTTCCAAAAGGAAACACACTAAGATAAAACCCTGAATATCATAACATCCTGATTTGAAAAGAACAAAAAGAAGATGGATTAGGCGAAGAAAGAACAAAGAAACTGGGGGCTTTAGTGAAAAAAACTATTAACAATAATTCGTGCAATCTAATCCCTAGACATCCTACGTCAATATCGTGAACCAGTGGCTAAAATTAACGTATTTTCTACGTTTATTCCATAATGTCACTGTTGTTGGTTGACTCCAATCCAAAACAAAGGTCTGCTCAGCCCATTATAAAAAATAGATAAATTACACATTTAATACCTAAACTATTAATTTTAATCTTTTTTAGTATTTTTATTTCATTTTAATAACACGTACAAAATTTAACATTAAATTTTGAAAAAAACAAAAAATTAGATACTAAACGTTTTAAGTTTTTAACGGTAAGATACTGAAATATAAAAAATAAATAAACTTTAAGTATAATTTTAAAAAAATTAAAAATACATAATTTAAATATTAAATGCGTAATTTACCTATAAAAAATAGTGATGAAGATTTATTCACACGTGAGTGAATGAGAATGACAAAATCCCACCGACAATTACATATTTACAGAAAATCTTTTGAAACATTCCTTTGTGTGTGTATTTTATTCATTTTTCGAATATCACATTTTTATTTACTTTCATTAATAATTTTTTGAAAAAAAAGGAATAGTTATTAAAATGATGAAACTAAATTGAGGATTAATTAAGTAACCAAGTAATGGTGTTTTAACTAACCTGAGCATCGAACATGTTCATGTACTTGACGCCGTTTCCCGAGTCAACTCGTCCGGCGTTGGGTTGAAACAAGCAGAAAGCAAGCGTTTCAGGTCTCGAGTCACTTTCGTAAGCGAAAAACGGGTAAGGATTAATGGCAAAGGGGGATCCGTTATCCTTGTGGAACTGAAGCAAGCCTTTCAATGCCGGTTGATAACTCGGGCTAAACGACCCGGAAGACGGCGGGTCGGATTGACTCAGCACCGCCATTGAGTTAACCGTTGAGACCTTGATCTTACCACCGAGTTTCGCCCCGTTAATGGCGTTTTGCATATTTTGCATCGCTGGTTGCAGTTGGTTTATCAAGTTCGGGTCATTTGTAGTCAAAACCTGGTGAAATAATAAAATCGGATCAAAACACAACTAAATTCTATTGATTCGAGCTTATTTTCAACTGCAAAAAGCTCACTTTCACTGAAATTTAAGAATTTTTGGAACTTTTTTTTTCAAAAAAATGAAAAGGAAGTGTAAAGGGCGAAAGTGACCTCGTTGCCAACAGTGATGAGAATGATGTTGCTAGCGGGGTAGAAAGGCAAAACGTTCGAGTTAATCCACTGAGCAGCTGAGTTGGGATCGGAGGCCAAAGCCGGAATATCCCCATTCGCAGCTCCGATAACGATTCCGACCCCGGTGTTAGCTAGAGCCTTGATGATCGCCGGATCCGCACCGTACAGCCTGACTTTCTCTATCGACGTGGATTGTAGAAGCTTCGCGGTGGCCGGCGGCGGCGGCAAGTTGTCTGCCACCTGGCCGTAGTTCACTCCTACAAACGGCTCAGCACCTATTTTCGAAAAAAAAGACACAAATTATTAATTGGAATTTGAAAGCTAACTAACTAAAGGTGATGTCGTTTCATGGTGAAAGGAACTCACTTGAGAAGTGAATGCAGAGGAAGAGAGAGAGGAAGAGGAAGACGAAGACGATTGCCATTACAGAGAGAGAGAGAGAGAGAGAGAGAGAGAGAATTTGCTTATTTCCTAAGCTGAGAAAGGGATGAGCTTATATATATAAGGGCAAAACTGTTATTACCATTTGATAAACCGAACGAATGATTTATTTAATTATCTTTTTTATTTATCTTTATTTGAATTTTCGAATTAGTTCTTTTATATCGTGTTGATTTAATTTATCATTTTTATTTATATTATATTTTTTAACCATTAAAATTACTCAATTATATTTTTTTATATTTTACCCCCAACTTAAAACTCTAAACCATAACCCATTATATCTAAATCATAAATCATAAATCATAAACACTAAACAATAATTTATAATATATAATTTAAGATTTTAAGTTCGGTGAAGGGTATAAAATGATGTAATTGAGTAATTTTGAGAGCTAATTTGATACAAAAATATGATAAGAAAAAAAATAATAAATTAATTCTACTATAGAAACAAAAGTGTCCCTTAAACCTTTTATACTAATACACGCTTTAAATCATTCAAATAAATTATTTCGATGGTTATGGGTTTAATTGTCACATATAATTATTGTCATATTTAATTTTACGTTGATACAAAGGGTGTTCTTTTATTTACTTGTTATTTTGGACGATAACGAATATATTTAGTCTGTTGATTAAATTATTTATCTTTGTTCTATTATATTACTTTCTTACGTCATGCGTTCTAAACCTATTAGAAACACTCATATTTAGTTACCTACAGTATCGTTTCCTTTTCTTCTAAATAAAATTAGAATTAAATTTAAAAATTATTAAAAACTTATTATTTTGGATATGATCTCAAAATCAACATATAATGAATTTGTAGAAATTTTTTGATGATTTAAAAAAATATTATTTTAATGATTAAAGAAATCATTATTATGGTTACGAGTACTCTATCTATATATTTCTAGAGGTTACGGGTACTCTATCTATATGTAAGGTTAAGAAGGTGATGGGGATTTAACATATCAACCACCTTATGCTGTGGAAGTGGGGCCATTTGTCCTTTACATGTTTACCAGTTTTTCCACCATTTGAATAATGCTCACAAGCTTTTATTGTCTTTTTATGGGTAAATTATGTATTTAGTACTCAAACTATTAATTTTGATTCATTTTAGTATCAAAACTTTCAATTTTTTTTTAAAACTATACCTAATGTTTAGTTTTTATTTCATTTTAATACTTAAACTATCAGTTTTGGCCTGTTTCAATGCCTAAACTTTCATTTTTTCAAAACTTAATAGTAGATTCTGAACGTGGTACTAAAATAAAACAAAAACTAAAGTTGTTAATAACGAGGTATTTAAATGAAACAAAGACTAAACTTTAGGCATGATTTTGAAAAGTTAAAAGTTCGGATACTAAAACGGATCAAAACTGATAGTTTATGTATTAAATACATAAATTATGCTTTTTTAGGGACCACAACTTGTGTTTTTCTCTTTTCTTTCTAATTAGATTTACATTAGAAGATGGGTGCATGGAAGACATTGATGATGTTTTGTCTGGAAGGACAATCTAGTTGTCTTCACCTTTCTGATTTACAACACCCAAATTAATAACCTCCTCTTATATTTTCCACGTTGCTTCCTTTAACAATCTATCCACGTTGATTCATAGTGATTTATACATGTTTAAAAAAAATTACGATTCAATCAATTATGCTTTAACTTAATAACAGATGGAGTCAGGATTTTAGTTTAAGAAAATAAAATATAATTAATAATAAAAAACGAGATGGATAAAATCAAAATAAATAAAATTTTGAAGGTCTAAATAGATATTTATTTATATATATATTTTAATAATAGAAAATTCTGAATGGGACAGTGGCCTCTTGAAAATATATGTAGTTTCGTCCCTGCTTAGGAGGCTGAACAACGACAAAGAATGAAGGAAGAGTGTTGTTATGTATCTCGAGTTTCATGGAGAATATTTCATAATTCTGAGGTTTCCTACGAAAATTACTCTTAATCTGACGTTATAAACAGTTTACTATCCTACCTTCACTTACTAAATTACATATGAGAACTAATTTTTTTTTCAAAACAATAAGATGCAATTTACCCGTATAAACTTAATACAGCCGCTCCTGTCCCGACCCATTCACGTCACTTTTCAAATTCAAAAACCAATCTCATAAAATAATAATAATAATAATAATTAAATACCAACAAATTCAGAAAAATAGACGCCTCGTGCTTATTTGGAGGACGCACATGTGCTGACAGGCCCACCAACCATCAATTTCACCTTTAGACAGGGGCAGGGGGGGTGAAAAGTAACTAAATTTGATTAACCAAGCGTGCATAGAGAACTCTCGTGTTTGATTGTTTTGGGTTAAAATAAACATGTGTCGGGTTAGTCTAGAGTTTTGAAAATTTAGGGTAAAGTACACAAATGATCCTCTAACTATAGGATATTGTTCTATTAAGTTTCTCAATTATTAAAAATTACAAAATAATAATCTGACCGTAGAATATTGCTTTATTGAGTCCCTCAACTTTTAAAAGTTACAAAATAGTCACCTGACTATTCATTATGTTCCAAACTCCTCTTTTTTCGTTAAAAAATTGACGGTCGTTTAAGTTGGACGTTAACATGATAACTGATATATGATAGTCGTTTGAGATTCGGGGGTCAGGTCTTATCAATCAAAATCAACAAGTTAACGTTCAGCTCAGAATACTATCTATTTTTTAACAGAAAGGACGATTTCATAATATAATGAATAGTCGGGTGATCCTTTTGTAACTTTTAATAGTCAAGGGACTCAACAAAACAATACTCTATAAGTGGATCGTTTTATAACTTTTAATAGTTGAGGGACTTAATAAAAAAATATCCTATAGCTGAGGGACCATTTGTGTACTTCACCCTAAAATTTATTGCTAAAAATATTTCGGAAATTAAGTTATTCAAAAAATTAATTTTATTTTTCGGTTTTATGGATGGATGAAACTTTCAACAACCAAGAAATTGTAATCTCAGAACATTTGATATATTATTTTAACCTCAAATTTCTCTGTCCCTATGAGACTGTCTTGATTGAAAACACAAACTGTAAAATCATGTTTAACCTATCATAATTTATCTTGTATGCTATTATGTATTATTTAACTGTATTAATTTAGACGAAAAACTTATAGAAACCTTATTGGATTGTTTAGGGACTTGAAGACCTAACTGATAAACTTGAAGGATTGAATTGCACAACTGGAGAAGTAATGAAGGTGAGAGTTTCAATCGAACAATCAATAAATCTCTTAACAGAGTTCAAATCAGTTTAAATTTGGATAGGTTAAATTTAAACTGAATGGATTTAAATATTAATTCATACGATCAAATAAGATTGAATCATATTTAAATTCAAATTACGGGAATTAAATGTCCAACGCGGACCGATTTACTGTTTCTGTCAATACCCGGAAACATAAGCCGTCCGTTTGACGTTTTCACATTAGGTGAATTACACGTTCAATACATTAATTATCAATTTTAGTCCTTTTTAGTATTTAAACTTTTAAACTTTTTAGAATAATGCCTAAAGTTTAGTTTTCATTTCATTTTAATACACATCGTTAAAAATTTTAGTGTCTGTTTGATTTTAGTATCTCGTACAAAATTTATTTTAAATTTTGAAAAAAATGGAAGTTTAGGTACTAAGACAGACAAAAGCTTATGGTTTAGGGACTATACGTGTTAAGTTTTTTAAGGCGAGGTACAAAAATGAAATAAAAAAACGTTAGGTATAATTTTGAAAAAATTAAAAGTTTAGGTACTAAATGCGTAGTTTACCCTTTCACATTTGTATCACCCAACTTTCCAGGACATCCTTCCAACAAGTGAATAAGCAAGCAACTTAAATCCAAAGAGAAATTGAAGAAAAATGGGAAATAGAGCATTGCAAAATTGAAGTTCCAATTGCAACATAATATATATAGAGTTGCATAAAGCTCCTCGTTCAAGAGATGCAAATTGTTTCAAGTAAAACTGAAGGAATAAAACTCAGATGATGACAGATAGATACGTGTCAGAAATTTGATCAAATCGGCCCAGAGAAATAAAAGAAATTAAAAAATGGAAGCATGCTAAAGATATCGAATGAAGTGTCTTACTTTAAGCTCCCGAGTGCGAGACTGGACTAGTTTCAAATTGGCCGTTCTTATATACATGGATGTATTGTTGCGGCAAAGGATGCTCCACCTACGACCCAAGATGATACTGATAGTTTAGAAATTCTAAAGTACAAATTCTACTAATTTAATTATATAGTTTTTTACGCATAAGATCCAAACTGCTATCCATGTAATATATGTATATGTGTTCAAGATTTGATCCAGATATTTTAATCATGCTTCACATCATATCCACATTTAATACTCAAACATATTGCCAGACTAAGAGGACTTGTCCAAAATGATATTGATAGTTTAATAAGTTCAATTAGAATGTTTCGAAGTTTGGAGACCAATTAAGAATTTGGGCATATTTTGGGGATGTCTAATGCAACTAACTCTTTAAAATAAGGATAAAGTACACAAATGATCTCTCGACTATAGGGTACTACTTTTTAAGTCCCTCGACTATTGAAGGTTATAAGATGGTCCTCCGAGTGTTACTTTGTTGAGTCCGTTAGCTATTAAAAGATTCAAAATGGTCACCCGACTATCCATTATTTTCCAAGCTCGTCATTTTTTGTTAAAAAAATGGACGATATCCTGAGCTGAACGTTAACATGTTTACTGTGATATGATAAAATATGGTCCTAGAATCTCAAACGACTATAATATCTCAGTAATCATGTTAATGTCCAGCTTAGACAACCACTAATTTGTTAATGAAAAATGATGAGTGTGGAACATAATAAATAGTCGGGTGACTATTTTGTAATTTTTAATAGTCGATGGACTTAATAAAACAATATCTTATAGTCGGGAGACCATTTGTGTACTTTACCCTTAAAACAAATATTGTTTTCTACAAGACATGTCAATCAAATGGATATCAACATAATTCAAACTCATCTATCTATAAGTAAAACAAATGAATTCCAAACAGAGGAAGCAAAAGTTATGTAATCAATAAAACCGTAAAGTGAAAAGGTTCGAAAACTTGAAAACTTACCCAGTCAGAATTAGAGTCGGCACCAGGTACTAATATATTGATGTCAATTGACTTTGCTGTTGTTATAGATGCATCTAAAGAATCTTGGCTCAAGTACAACTGAGCCCCAGATGTGTTGTCCACTGAAATTGTTGGAGCAAAACCCTAGAACAGATACGAAGTAGATAATCACTAGAGTAGAAATTAACACTAATTACAGCAGTGGTAAATGGTAAAAATATCAAACAAAGAGCAGGGAACATGACCAGCATTTGCTTTCAAGGTATTTATATCAGAAGGATGAAGAATATACCTGACACTGTGCCTCAACACCATTGCAATTTACTATCTCAAAAGCAGCCACAACATCCTGTCGATTTAAGAAAAGGCATAACGAGTGCATATTATGCTTCAGAAGATGTACACGTAAAAAGTAGATCTTTCCCTACAAACCTTAAATATCACTCCCATCTTAGTGCATTTGTCAAGTGTTATATTGTTAACTTTCCCTGCATAAGAACCAAAAAAAAAAAAAAAAAGAATCACCGAGATAAATCAAATTGCATTGTCAAATATATATATATTACATTCATGGGTTTAACAAGTTTACCCTGAATCTGCAAAACGGAATCCTTGCATCCAAAAACATACACGGACTGTTTAGCATCACAATCCTCAATAACCAAGTTCTTGATTCCAATTTGATTCTCGACAGCCCACCTACCAATATTACAAGTAATAGACACTCAAAAAATCAAATACCACTATCAACCACCCAAATAAAAGTTAACACCGAAAATATCCCGACTTACTTACGACCCATTTGCAGCTCTAGTTTTGGTGGTCCTACTTTTGGGGCAGTAGTAGCTGGGCTGCAACGTGGTCGCTTTTCACTGGTGCTAGCAACCACTGATCTATCAGTACGGTTCTTCGACTTCATATCATCGGTAACCTTCCTCAGGCCTACACATTAAGAGAATAGGATCATAGTTGCTCAACATCGAAGTGAAAATTAGTCAAGAAAGAAGGGGAGAGAGGGGTGTTAACCAGCAGTGACATTCCCGGAATTGATCTCTTGGAAAACAGCTGACAACCCTTGTTTTGGTTGTGATGAAGAAGGTTTAGAAGATTCTGAGCTGAAATGAGAAGCAGGTGGAGGACAAGGAGCTGCAGGGGCACCTGGTGGAGGAGCTTTCGATGGAGCAACATATGCCTTCTTACCAGAGGCATTCCATACCGGTCCAAGAGGATAATGACTTTTGACATAGTCTCTCAGACCTGGTAAATACATCTCCTTCAATGTTTTGGCCCACTCAACATGGTTTGGATCTTTGCTTTTGTACTCCACAAGAACCTGAAATTTACAACACATATTTCAATACCAACCAGCTAGACATTTTGCTCAAATCTATGATTATAGCAATTCAATCTACACCATTACATAAAAAGATAAAGTGTTAATCACAACTTACTATTAATTTCAACTTATTAGAATTTCTACTCTGATAAATATGCGTGTGTTTGTAATTCATATTTTGTATGGAAAAAGATCAATTGCATCAAAAAGAGGTTAATCTGCCTAAAAACATTAACATAGTCGATCCATTATTTTAAGATAAAAGGAAACGTTAAAAATAAATATAAGAAGATTTGACACCCTGTTATGATATGCATCCATGATCAAATGATGTTCCTTAATTTTCTTCCTTAGCTTCAAAATAATAGAAAACTCGCTAGTGGATCACAGTTTCCAGCTTGAGTTGCTGGCTTCCTAGAAATAAAAGGTACCTTGTTGTTGTAAAATTCAGCGGCTTGCCAACTTTCTTCCACATGTGCAATAGGCATGCTCAAACCTTGATCAAAGAATGCATTACCAAGAATCAAATAAAAAGCAGGAGATCATATGCTAATGTCATGTAAAATTGTAAAATAGCCATTTACACATAAAATCAACTTCACTCGATATGGTTACATACAAGCAGCAGCACTTCTAAAATTCTTTTACTAAAGGCCTAAGCATGAAAGTACGAATGGAGGTCACACTTTTCATGAGTTGTGATTAGTTGAATGCATGAGCCTAATTCTAGCATAAAACAAAGGCAGTAATATAAATCCACACTTTAAACATATGTGTGAAACAGACGCCAGCATTGATCAAAATTGGTTTAAGATTTATGCTACACTACACCCTACACGTAAGTCACATCATTGAGAAAAGTGGCCACTTCATGCAGAAATAGCTATGAGCAAATATGCTAGAGCATACATTCACATACCACAATCTTTGCCAGTGTAAGCAATCCATACTAAAGCCGAAAGACTTTCCCCTGCACTCTTGAAGTGGTTGAACAACTCGGAACCTCTCTGTTCTGCCTTAGCAGTAACTTTCATGATCACTTCATTCAATGGTTTGAGAAATTCACCCATCCCTGCCATATCAGGTTTCTGTACCAACAGAGCAAAACGCATTCAAACGTCTCATTAATATTTACCACGATGTAGCCACACTGAATACAATACTTGTAGAATAAATGGATAAAAAGCAGATAATAGCTAGAACCAACTTATTCAAAGAAAAAATCATAATATGAAACACTCAAGCCGCCAAATGTTAACTTCCTCCTTGATAACATATTATTAAGATATCTGACTATAAACTCTATCAGTGAAATGCTTCGTGATAATTTAATTGGTTAAAAATGGCTAAATAATATTGTATTTTCTCAATAATTCTAATGTTCCTTAAGATCGTGAAACAATCATAGTCAAATTTCATAAACAAAATGGACACTCTTCTGGTTGGAAAGATAGCTATCTAATGAATAAGATATCTTTTCGCATTTTCCTATTTCGTACAATGCATCCCCAAAACCACACTGCGCTAAAAATAGATTGCGCCGGAATCTAGTTCACTGGATTTCACATAATTCATCCAAAAGAGAGAGAGATATATAAAGCTCAAACAAACGAAAGAATAACAAAAATAATAATCGAATACAAAGGAAAGGAAAGAAAAACAGTAACCTGTGTTTGCTTAATCTCCATAAGAAGCTGCTTTTCCACCGAAAAAGCCTCGAGAAGCAACATAGTTACATCCAGCACTGGACCTCCGATCTTCTCCGCCGCACAGGAAACCTTCGCCGCGTATTGATCCATCAGATCGTCAAACGCCATGATAGACGGATCCGAAGACATATCGACACCGATATCCGGCAAGCCCCTGGAGGAGACTCCTACACCCGCGCCTAGAGCCTCCAGCCGCGCCACCGCGGTCTCTAACCTCTCGACCAGCTTCGCCTCCATAGCAAAACAAACTTCCTCCACACACACTCTTCTCTACGAAACGCTCGAAATGTATTTCAAACTTCCACACAGCAAATGAGGAGAGTTTGAAGGGATTGTCGTAATAACTAACTCATCAATTTCTTTTGGAATTTTTTAAGGGGGCTTGATTTTTTGTACACGTGGAGTGTATAGACATGGGCAATAGTCATTTTAAGAGATTGAACGTGAAGGTGACACGTGTAATTCCAGCTGGATTAACGGCTGTACCTGCATCGTAAGGCTGACATTACTATAAGCTAAAGAGTAAAATTACGTATTTAGTACCTCAATTATTAGTTTTAATTCATTTTACTTCCTAAATTTCCAATTTTTTCAAAATCATGCCTAAAGTTTAGTTTTTATTTCAATTGAGTTCCCCCATTTAAAATTGAACGTTAAATTTTAAAAAGAATGAAAGTTCAGGTACTAAAATTGATAGTTTATGTACTAAACATGTTAAGTTTTTAACAATGGGGTACTAAATTGAAATAAAAACTAAACGTTAGGCATAATTTTATTTTTTTTGGAAGTTTAGGTACTAAAATGGATCAAAACTGATAGTTTAAATAATAAATATGTAATTTATCCTAAAATTAAATAATATAAAATTTAATTATACTTTTGATCTCTATACTCTTCACACATTGAAAATATAATCCATTTACTTTTATTTCTTTTGCCTTAAGGAATTTCATTTCATTCAATTTAGTTTATTTGTTTTTCTCTTAAAAAAATACTCATGCAATTGATTAAGAGCCATGTGGATTTAAAGACTAGTATTTAATCTGAACCTAATAGATTTTGATTCATCTTATTTTATGAGATCTGATTTAAAATAAATTAAAACGTGACACCACATGTATCACTAGTAACAATGTCTCAATATGTGTCCCATCTGATTACATTTTTTTTTAAATTTTAATTTATTTAATTTAATAATGTTTTTCTCTGTATGAACCAAGATACCTCAATTTTATTTTATTAGTTCAATAAATTTTAACATTTTTTTATTGATCCAGGATATAAATTAGTATTTGTTCAAAGATAACTCTCAACCATTTGATATTGAACGTTCACACTCTTGACATTCATGATACTCGAACGCAAACAATTCGTGCAACATATTTAGATGTTATTTTCTTGGAGTAATACACACGAATATATATATATTCGGCAGATGCCATTTTCATGCTGAAAAATCAACAGAGAGATGGGCCTACTTCAACAAACAACGAGACATTCGATGTCCACATCCACAATAATAACCATTGAACACTTTAACACGGCATCGTTCTAAAGCAAACAAAAAGCCGCTGCTTGTGCCCTTGTCAGGGGAAACCAACGGGGTTACCATGTTAGGTAAAAACTGAATATCCCAGCATTTCCTCTTCTGTTAACCCGAGAGTTACCGTTCAACCGAAGAACGATTCGACCGATGAAGTTAACTCGATCCGATAAATCTGAAGTTCGAATTTCGATATTGCGACTCTGGTATTATATCAGTACTGAAGCAAGTCCATATATACAAGGCTCGGTGAAATAAAAAATGGCGATAAAAAGTAACCGAGTAAGAAAACATATATATATATATATATATGCACATCCAAGGTGTTTTTAATCATCCTTCAATTTGGACAAAATGGAAAACCTATTTCACAACATAATTCTGACCTCGGTAACCATAATGCCTTGAGTAGAAAGCAATCATTTCCGTCTCGATTTCGTGGCGTCAACCTTATCGATGTGCTTCTTCGGATGTGGAACTCTCGAGGATATCGGCACTGTGGATGGAACCGAGTATCCCTCCCGTGCAGCCGGTCGGTGCTCCTGCAAAATGAAAGGCATTTTAAGGGATTTCATAGACGCATTATCACCAACTGTTCCCCCTAGGCCAAGCCTGATGTGCTAAGTGCTCAATATGTGGTTTCGGTGTAATACAAAAGTTCCAGCATCGGAATCATCGATCGACAAACATAAATGTAGATTTCGTTTACGGAACATGAAACTATGATTCTTTTTATACTAAAGTATTGATTATGAAGGTTTGGCGGCAGGTTGCAGGTATGTGATAGGAGGGCTTACAGAGCGAAAAGGAAAATCATCTGCTTCGAGCATGTGAACGATCTGCCCCATTTTCGGTCGCTTATTGGCATCCAAATCGATACATCGGAGACAAACTAGCAGGCTCGTTTCAAAGCTCGAGGCAAGGGTTGAACTTCAATCAAAGGGTCCACGAGTTCTTCTCCACGACGGCATGCTACCATGCCTTTGAACCAATCAACTAAGTTCATCTGAAATACACAGCAAACAGAGAAGGCAATGGCCATTGTTCATGGTGTTCCGGGCATCCAATGAAAGTAATGCAAGAGAAACACTGCCTTCACCTCTCCAGGCTCCCTCGAATAATCGATCGGGCTTCTCCCTGTAATGATCTCCATCAGTAGAACTCCGAAACTATAGACATCACTTCCTTCATTCAGCATGCCCGTGCTAGCATATTCAGGTGAAACATAACTGCACAGAACAACAAACACTACCAAAATAAGAATAAAGAATGTAAGGCATATACATATATATATACATACATGCAGACATGAGATTGTGAAAGAGAACAAACCCGAATGTCCCATTACACGCGTCGTCACGTAGCTCGCTTCGGATCCTAAGAGCTTGGCTAATCCGAAATCCGATACTTTGGCATTCCACTTCTTGTCCAGAAGGATATTACTCGATTTAACATCACGGTGCACAACTTTAGGTTCTAGCCCTTCATGCAAATAAGCTAATCTGAAAACATAAACAAGAAAACAACTAAAAGCTAAAACCAAAAACCATTCTGCTTCATGAGATCATGAAAATTGACAGAACGAAAGACGAAACACCCAACCCTTTTGCCGTTCCGATCGCGATCTTCATTCGTATATTCCACGTAAGAGGACTAACAGGACCAACATCACCGTGCAGCCATTGTTCCAAGTTCCATTGTCGACGTACTCATACACAAGAATCCTTGAATGAATGATGTTTAGATTTAGTATTCGAGAGTTGTTTTTCGAATTCCCATTGTCGACGTATTCATACACAAAATTTTACCTTTGAGGTCCTTCAGTGCAGTACCCAACCAGACCCACCAAGTTCTTATGCCTCACTTTGCCAATGGCTTCGACTTCCACGTTGAACTCCTTCTCTGCTTGGCCCCTGTGAACAAACAAAGTGGTCTAATTCTGTTTCTAGTCCCTGTACTTATAAACTACTTATAAAGTTAATAAATTAAGGGTTCTTCTAATAAGTGTAGTGGTAAAAGCATGTTCAGTAAGCTCAAGGAATCAATAAGAACAAACAGATTTGTCTAATTCTGTTTCTAGTCCCTGTCATTTTTGAAAATTTGCAATTTAGTATCTCTACTTTTAATTCTAGGTAGAGAGTCAAAAGCTTTGCTTCTCTGAAAAAATTGCCGTGGAATCTTACAACCCCAGATTTAGAATCAGAAGCCTTACAATCTCATCCTCATATTTAAAATTTTTATTTGCTTATTCAGTCTTCACGCATTTAATATTTGTCATATGAGCAACATGATTGTTAAAAAGATATTAAATTTTAAATGTGCAAAGATTAAGGGATCAGAATCATAATTGAAAAATAAAAATACTATTTTTTTAATATTATTAGAAAAATGTTGAACCGAATAAAAAGTCAAACCAGTAATTATAAGAACAAAAAAACACACAATCTTCAACGGTCAGTCTTGGATCTATCATGCAGGAATAAAATAACCAAGGAGCTCCACTTCAAAAAAATAAAAATAACCAAGGAGCAATATTTTCCCAGAAAGTGTTTTGTCTTTTCCCGGGAAACAAACAGAGCAAAAGCACAATATCTCGAAACGATTCATAAGAGGTATATTTTTACTGTGTACGTACTTGTTGTTAAGAAGACTTTTTACAGCGACGACGGAACCGTCTTGCAAAACGCCACGGAAAACGACGCCGTACCCACCTTCACCCACCACATTCTCCTCCGCGAATCCACGTGTCGCCATCTCCAGCTCCTTCAAGCTGTACCACCGACCCCAACCGATATTCTGAGCATCCGCCGCCGACACGTCACTGGCTCCTGACACATCGTCGCTAATTCCCTCGCTACTCTTACTGGGAGCCGAGTTTCCGATATTTCCCTCCTCGGCAAAGCAATCGGCATTCTGATTCAACGCCTTGATCTCCAAGATCTCTTTAGAGACCGGCGGGATCAGACCGGAGCTATGTTTCACTTTCCGCTTGCGCGCGTTTCTGCTCAAACGGAGACATAGGAAGATCGTAAAAGATAAAAGAAGTAACAAGACCACGAGAATCGAGATTAATGCGTAGAGCTTGAGATGGAACAGCGGTGTTTTGTAGGAAAGAATGTGAGTAACGGAGTTGGTTCTGTTGCTGTTGCCGCCGGTATCGCCGGCGACCGGCATTAGATCCGGCGAGATATGGAACTTCTTTTTTATCGGGAAAGTGAAGGAAAATGATAATTGAGAAGGAAAAAAAAGTTAAAGGGGCTGAGAGATTTTGGTGCTTTAAAGAGAAATTGCTCAAATGAAAATGACCTCGAACGACTAAAGACGCATATTTATAGTTGTTTATTATTTTTATTTTTTTATATCTTAATTATAATGTTTAATATATTTTTTGTATTTTAATCTAATTTTTAGTTTGATTTATATGATATGTTTTATAATTTATTTCATGTATTATTATTTTTATTTTACATTTTATATTTTATCTTTATCATTAAAAGATTATTTGACATAATCAAAACATGTCAAGTGTAATAAAATATTTAAATATATAAAAAATCATCGATATTTATAAAAAATATTTTCCGTTTAATTTTAAAATAAGGTAAATTATGCATTTAGTATCTAAACTATCAGTTTTGGTTAATACCTAAACTTTCAATTTTTTCAAAATCATACTTAAAGTTTAGTTTTTTTTGTTTTATTTTAGTACCCGTTAAAAACTTAATGTTAAGTTTAATTTTTTTAAAGTTTAGGTATTAAAACGAGCCAAAAT